CGACGAATTGCCCATGGTGGCGATCATACCTCTCCACGCTTCGCTGAGAGGGCTGGCGATGGGACGAGCACCTCCCAAATCCACTATTGGGGAATGATGGCTTGGCCACACATTCACTGCATCCAAGGGGTGCCACCCATGGGGCACACACTCTACAACACTCCTTACTCTCAAAGATGGGGCGGTGGTTTAGCCATCTTCCGTCACATCTAAATGTTGAGGCCGATGAAATGCACCACGCCTCTGTAATAGTACTGTTTGGGTTTGTTGATGATTATGGGGCGCAATCCGTCGCCCAGTGGAAAAGCGGCCATGCCGTTCATCCCCGCACATGAGAATGTGGATGCGGCCATGCCGTTATACTTTCTCTAGAGAGCATGCGAGGTGGGCCGCACCCTCAAATCCCATTAGCCCTTCGGGCGCTGATAATTTACAGCGGTAGTTCTTTCATTGCCCTTCTTCTCCTCCCCTGTTAGCCTAAAATTCTCTACGACATAGCAAACCAGAGCTCAGGATGGATCAAGATGGTTTTCAGCATGCCTCCAACATGCCCCAAGACTTCCCCGGGGTAGCTTGAAGTGACCGTCGAGCCTCCCAAACGATGGCACCAAGAGTTCAAAATCCTAGTTGTACCAATGCTGATTACGTTCTCGTCTACTTCCAGTGGGCCGCTGAGGCCTCAAGATGGACTCGAGATCGGCCAGGAGGGCCCCTCGAGGGACCCAGAAGGGCTTCAAAGACGGCCCCGAGAGCGCCGTTGAGCGCTCCAAGGGTGCCCCGAAGAGGGCACCGAGGGACGATGGTCCGGGCTCCAGCGGGACGATGCTTTTTGTGTCGATGGCGTCCTGGATCGGCCCAGGAGGGGTCCCAAAGGCTCCCGAGCGAGCCCAAAGAGAGCCCCCAGAGGGCCACAAGAGATCCCCAGAGGCTTCCAAGATTGCCCAGATATGGTCCGAGTAAGCTTCCAATATGCTCCCATGTCGGAAAGTCCGCGAAGGCAGTTGTGGTTGACTTCTGGGTCTGCTCAGGCTGATCCTGAGCTTCGGTTTGACGGCCGCCCCCCTCCTCCTTCCACTACTTGTTCCTGCACATCCCTGATCAAGGCAATCACCGCAGCATACGTCGTAGATGGACTGATGGACATACGTACACGATGCGTCAAGGCCTTCATCAACTCGAGGACAGAGAGACGCGCCCGCCCCGCCTCGTCTCCCCTCGAAGAAGTGCTGTCGATGCCCACGCGGTTCGCCCCACGTGAAATAGCAAGGTGTCCGCCCACTCCCCGAACCCCCTCATCGTCGGCGCGAACACCGCGGCCCGATCAAATGAGGCGGTCGCGCATCTGCTGATCTCAGCATCGCCTACGAACCACCACTGCGGACAGCTGTCTGGGCAAGCCACCCCGAAAAGAGAGCGTCAAACCGTGCGCCCCATGGCCAAGGCGCATTGGGTGGAATTGCCAGGAGGATGTGCCATCCTGTTTCCAACACAGGCTATGCAGAAGAAGAGCTAGCGAGGTGCCTCTGTCCATCGCCCCATGACACGTCACTTCAAGAAAGCTTCGCAAATTTGCCATAGCACCAGCTGGCGCCCTCATAATGTTCATCTAGTTCAGCATACGTGTAAGGAGAGATGCCCGCCTCGTCACCATTCCTCCCGCAAGAAGGCAGGAAATTGCCTTGCATCCAAATTTCATTCCAAGATGGAACGGGACTGCGGCCACTTCGTTGATATTATCCGCTAGGTGATGGAGGCGCGCCCAGCCAATCTCCCGTCAAATGATTGCCTCTGGTATCCAAGACCTCCGCCACCCGATGGCCAGGCGTGCATCCCGACAGCGCCCCCTCAAAAACAACGCTGGGGCATCGTGTGCCACATAGGAGTGGCCCTTGGGACACAACGGGCAGGTGGCCGCAGCATCATGCCGACCCGACACGCTTTCGCTGGCAGCGCTGGCGGACGCGAGCGCGACTGCAGAGCAGGCGGGACGCGCCGGCCACTTGGCGCTCCAAAGCGGGCGGGAAAGCAGAGCCGGCCGCGGAGAGGAAGGGGTGAAGGAGGCCGGGGCCGCCGAGAGTCGACGGGAACGCCCCGAGAGATAGGCTGCGAGGTGTCCATCCCATCGCCAGCCACATCGAGCAAGCAATGAGAGGCGGCCACGCCACTACCATTCATCAGTTGACGGCGGCGACGTGTGCAACCCACCTAAAAGATCCTCGGGGAGTCGAGGTAGGTGTTCATGCGATTCGCACTCGATGGAATTAGGAGGTGGACGTCCCCCCGCCACGCATTGAACGGCATTCGTAGAAGTGCGTCGTTACTCATTGGGCGCGACCTTGTGGCACGACTTGGCACAGGCAAAGACCTAGGGATGGGAAGGTGGAGGAAGGAGGAGTTGAAGGGGGAAGAGAGGGAGAGCGAGAGAAAAAGAGAGATGAAGAAGGAGAAGTGCGACGGATGAGGACGGAACAAAGAAAAGAAAGAGAAGGGAGGAGGGGGGTAGCGGAGGGGGGGACGGGGGAGGAAGGAAGAAGGTGGTGGGAGGAGGTATGGGGGGAAGAGTCCAGGAGGAGGAAGGATGATGTGAGAGGAAGGAGGGGTGTGGAAGGAGGAAGTGAAGAGGATGGAGACGGAAGGAACAAAGCAGGGGGTAGGGTGGATGTCGGGAGGGGCTAAAACGAACAATCATCTGCATATGCAAATGCATGCACACATGAAAACATACATGCACATGCATACATTCATTGCCCAACCTTCTCTGGCCCAGCTCTGCTATTATCCTCGGTGCTCTCCTTCGATCGCTCCTGTCGGCATTGATCCTCCATACTTGGTTCCGCGCTCGGGTCTTGGCCGCACCTTCCTGCTGCCAAGGGCTCGCTCGCACCCCACAAGCTTGCTCCCCGCAGTGGCTACCCATACCGGCCCTATCAGGGGGTCCTGACATGGCGCCCAGCACGCCAAAGAGCGTGTAGAAGATTGACGAATCGGCAGCCCACACTGTAGCCACCTTTCCTCCGCATTCTGGATAGTCTGGCTTGATGCGTTGAAGCGGTGGTGAGGCTTTGCAAGAAAAACGATGCTGCAGCAGAGATAGCCTAGACTAACAAGCCAGTAAAAGATTCGTGTGGTGAAGCTGAATCACGCGAGACTTCCCTAGAAGGCTTCAGACACAGAGTACTACGACAGTCAACCTGGCGACGGAATCAAGCTTCCACCAAGCAGATTTCAGCCCAACAACTGGAAGCGTATTGATGCTTTGAGCTGCCTGCTGGATCCACCACCGAGCTCCCTGGCACGAAAAGGAGTGATAGACTGCCATCGTGCTACACTGCTGCTTTTTGTAAAAGTTTGAGAAAAGCACCACACTCACCACCCCTGGAAAGAAACTTGCAATCGTTAAATAATCTCACACACACACGTATTCCTCACACGCGCGGCCAGGTCCAAACCTCGGAACGAAGCACCGGGTCGCGATTGCATCGATTTGGCATCCGTGTGGCGCGGTGAAGCAGCCAAGACACGAAACGCACGTAGACAGATCGGCTGAAAAAAACCGGACAACGCAGGAAGAGGGAGGCCAGGCGAAACGGCCGTGCAGCGAGCGCGAGTGGTGCAAATGGCTCGCTACGCCGATGGCGAACGAAACGAGTGCGCAACAGGAAAAGGCTGTGAGAGAAAGACAATGAAGTGCAAAGGGGGCCATAAAAGAAGAGCGTTGGCTGGAAAGCCGAGCGACACCGGGCCGCGCACAGTCCTGGCCCGTAGACCCACCAGCAACCCATGCCAGGCGAACGAGTAGCGCAGAGTCCCCCGACGAGGGGGCACGGCAGCGAAGGAGGCGCAAGGAAGGGGGACGGAGCGGAAGAAGATGGAGAGGCGGCATGAAAGACCAGCGACGCCAGCCGCGCCGTCGCAAAAGGCTCGCTGCGCGGTCCCTGGGCGAAGGGGGGACGGAGGCCGGAACGGCCGAGCGTCCGCCCGCAGCGCCGAGGCGGCACACGGCGGTGGACGAGGCCGCCGAATGGCGCAGCGGGTGGCCGATGGGCGGCGGGAGCCTGCCGAATGGAGCGACCCCGCAGCGGCGACTGCCCGACGGCGCAGAGGCGGAGGGGAGCACGACGCGCGGGACGGCACCCGAGTGGGCCAGCCCGAGGGGGACGAGGGGAGGAAAGAGGAGGGATTTTTTACTGAAGCCCACAACGCCAACACACACACACACACACACACACACGCCAGAGGCCCAGTCCCAGCAGCAGCAGCTGGGCGGGCGAGAAAAAACGCACTCCTCAGGCCGACGTTCCCCCAGGCGTGTCGCAGACACGTCAATCCACCAGGGACGGCCGACAAGCCATCCCCGCCAAGACGGACAAGCGAGCAGCACGACCTGGGGGCGGCCGGAATTAAAACGAAGGACGATCAGTCAGAATCATCGGAGAGATCTGACGACAAGTAATGTGAAGACTGGGCGTACAACCCATGCCAGAAAGCCACCGTGTCGCGCGTTGGCGCCGCATGGCCAGCAGGAATGGGGAAGGCGGGAGGCCTTGCTGCTGCCACCTGGTCCTGCATGCTGGGGAGAGCGTCTGTCGGGCCAACATCAGCTCGAGTGGCTGGCTGGCCTGCAGGGACGCGTTCCTCCCCTGGACAGAATGAGCTGGAGGAGGCATGAGGCCCTGCTGCAACCTCCTCCTCGTGAGAAGCGATCAGGGAAACGGCTCTCGAGCCGACCTCGGCGGCCTCAGGTCGGCTCGGGGCGCTGGCCGCAGGAGAGGGCCGGCTCGGGGCAGCCCCGGCACAGCCTCCTCCCTGCGCCGTCAAAGGGCCATCGTTGTCCCCATCATCATCAAATCGGGCACACTCCACCAGCTCTGCGCCAGTCTTGGAATGGCGACCCAATAAAAACATGCCTCCAAGTGCGGCGGCGGCCGCGGCCTCTCTTGGCCTTAGTGGGTGTGCCAACACACCTTCTGGCCAAGCCACGAACCTGGCCACTGGCCACCACTAGTACAAAACGTACATGACACGCAAACTAAGAGAATGCCATCCCCATCACAGTAGGCTAGCACAAGGGGCTGATGCATGTTGGCCTGTAGAGAAGCCCTCATGAGTCATTTGAGATCTGGGGCCCCTCTACAAACACTCTTGCCAGGCCTAGGAACAGCACGAGAAGAACGCCAACAGGTGGCACGCAACCGAAATCTCCCTTCCCAATGCCGGTCATGATCAGGCCCAGGGGTAAGCTCGGGGATCGGAACGGGCTTGATTCGGAAAATTTCTGCCAGGTCAAGACGCGGAAAAAAACACCATGACACACGCGGAAAGCTGGCACACTAGACGCGAGATGAGCTCAGCCCGCAATTGCCGCCCCACCGCAGACATGGAAGGCCGAAGGTGACGGGAAACTGTCTGGCGGGCTGCCGAATCTGGTAGATCATTACCACTCTTCAAAAAGATCTCTTCCTCAGAGAAATCAGGTCGGTTTTTCTGCTGCCGCTTACACGTGAAAACATCCCCAGGAGCCACCCAGCGTCTGGAGCATGAATCCAGCATACGGGCGACGATAGGAGGTCCTGGAAGACCCACGTGGGAACAATCAGAAAGATAGGGGAACCAACGGCTCTGCACTGGGCCGCAATCGCGTAGGCTACAAATTCAGCCGCCTGCGGGGTCCGAGGGAAATAACCCACGAGGGGCCCAGAAATGGCGGCCAGGTGGGCGCCAGAGGGGCCTACGAGAATAACAGCCTAGCCTGACCTGAAGGGCTCTGGGGAAACCTTTCTAGTACACGAACCGTCCACGACGATGCGCCCATCCAAGGTCGCATCATCTGAACGGGGATCCTGGGTCCAAATAATCAGCACTACACTGGGAACACCATCAACAGTAGCAGCAGGCCTTGGGTGGTATTCAGCGGGGTGCTTGTACAGAACACTCGTGAACAACAGGAACTCATACGGATCCGATGCAGGCGTGAGGTCCGACGGCGGTCTTATCTTCGAATGCTTGCCAAGAGCTTCTACCCGCTCAGCAGCGACGGCTGGGCAGAACCTCGATCGACGCAGCACGGCGTCGTCGGCCTCCTGGCATAATGGACAAAGTGCGTCGGGCAAGTCGCGCCCCGCTTGCCTCGCTCGCTGCCGCGTCAAAATGGCATTGCAACACACAGCACGCATGCACCCCTTTTCATGTAAGGTGTGTACTTATGTTATGCAACATAAACCTAACTTGGTCATCACATACACGAGCAGGTTGTGCGACGCGGAAGAAGCCGCACCGCTGATCGGCACTCATTGACATACTGAATAGCTAGCCCCCAGTGCCGCTTCAGCAGCGCAGGCGAAATCAACGTGAGCGGCAGCTCGTTCATGTGCTGGCCCACGACCAGTTCGAACGAGGGCATAATCTAACCGATCCTTGACAAATTCAGTTTCACAGCCGAAGTGGGCCCTGCAACTTGATTCCAAGAGTCAGGCCCCGAGGCCAGGAAAACAGAAGCCCAAGACTCACGCACTTCGGCCCAGGAAAGGGTAAAGGGACGACTTTTGAGTCGCAAGGCCCAAGGTTCCTTAGCCGAACATAACATGGGAGCCATGGGACAATAAAAGGTGGGGCCCCTCTCCAGAATGAGGGCAGAGGTGAGAGAACGAAACCCAGACCCGGGTCGGAGGCACCTCCCAACAGCTTTACGAGCAAATCCCAATTCGTGATCTGAGATCCCGTGGACCTCCGCTCCGTAGCAGTACCTTGGAGAGGCCCAGCCACAAATAACTTCCTGCAGGCAGTGTTTGCCTAGAGTGCATCGCCCTCCCGCAGCCTCCTGGTTTTGCTGTTAAGGTGAAGGACACGAGCCTCAAAAACCGGAGCACGCTGCCTAGCGCTCCTAGGCCTCCCCGCAGTGAAATCGAGACCGAGGTTGGCTGCAGAAGTGGCGAGTTGGCGCTCAGCCAACGAACCACTAGACTTCATCAGCTTGGTGGTCACTCTCCTGGAGGATGCAACCAAGCAAGCTCTGTCCTCGGAGATGTTAGCTCCAAGGTCATGTAAAATAGCAGCCTCCAGCATACTAGCACATTCGGTGAGATCGTAAACCACTTGCGGCTCGGAGCCTGGAGCGCAGACTCCGTTATCGCCGATGTGGGCATCGAGCGTGACAGAGTGGGGCAAATGAACATTAGCAAGCGGACCGAAAATAAATATCGGAACCATGGTAGCAGCGAACGAACAACCTGCAAGAATGCCGAAATCCGCAAACGCAGGCCCAGCGACGAGGCCTCCGAGAACGACAAATCTGACAGACTGGTACATAGCAGCCACCAGGGCAAAAAATAGCGGGATGCAACCGATAGGTATGACAACGTTCCAAGAGCCTAGTTAGGCTGACCGTTTCCCGAGAGTAGACGAGCAGCAACTCGGCCTCTGGCAACTTCATTTTGTGCGCGCACAGCTTGGCGCCAAACCACGTCCGTGCTAGACGAGAGCTTGGCGGCTGCAAGGTAAGGTCGAGCATGCTCCTCCTCCCACTGGATCACATATATCCTCCTCGTTGTCCCCCATAACCTATACATTGAACTAAAGAGCCTAATGGGCCAAGAGCTTCCTGATGTTTTAGCCAAGAGCGAGAAGAGGGTGAGGCTGGCCTGCACTTGCACCAAACTAGTCATCTCCATGGCAGCGTACAATGAGGAGAGCACCGTGAGACCGTCATCAGACAGGAGAGCGTAATGCCTCATGTGAAACCCATCTGTAGAGGTGGCCGCATGCCTGGTAAACTTTCTGCTGATGCTTCTAATGTCCTCAGGAGAAATGGGATCACAACAGGGCTGGATGACGAACGAATCTGGGAACTTCGAGGGGACGAAGTCGGCACACCACAACGTGTCAAACCCGATACATTCGGACTTAAGCAAACAAGGGGTCCGCAACGATGTTACCCGCATCGTTGAAGGTCGAGGTGGGGGCCCAGGGGGTAAAGCCGCGAATGGCCTTATGGGCCTGCTTGCCCCCTTTCCTCCACCCGATGCAGGAGCCAGGACTTCCAACCCTGCAACCCCTCTTGCTGTGCTTGCGCCTCCGCAGCAACCAACGCGATACTGAGGTTGGGGCACAGGTCGGGTCAGGCTGATGCGGGGAACCTATAGCAGCAACCACAAGAGAGTGCCAACGCTCATGCAGGACAAGAGCTTCGGCAAGAAACCTGGGTTTAGCAAGCAGAACCTGTCGGTCAATATCAGCTCCAGCCTGGTCTCCAAGGTCGCAGAAGCGAGCGCCTCTCCGACAAAGAGAGCCACGCGGCTCCGCCAGGTCGCCGGGCGAGGCCGTGAGGGTCCCACGGTGAGCGGACACCTGGTGCGTCAAAGGCAGTCCGACGCGACCCTAGCAGGTGAAGGGGCAGCCCGGTGCAAAATCTCGGACTCGACGCATGCGGGGCGGTGTGTGTGTGCGTGTGCGGGAAGCGAGCCCTAATTCCCCATCCAGGAACTGGCATCGCTCATACCACCCGCACATCAATGCAAGCTACACCTTGCAAGATCCCATACTCCCACCTGAGTAGTTTCTACGCAACGGAAACAAAGAAATACGACGAAGTTGTTAAGGCGTTCAAGAAAATTGAAGAGGTGAGGGAAACGACGGGCAAGCATGACTCGATATAGGAAAGAGGCGGTAACCAGGAATGCAGCTATTTGAACGAGGCGTGGGGCGTTCACGTCTTCGCGGAACGATGCAGCCATGCCACTCATGATTGGGGATTACATCCTCGCTGCAACGTCAACTCATGCGTGCTGGGCGAAAACTGCACACACACACACACACACACACACACACACACAACAACAACAACAACAACAACAACAACAACAACAACAACAACAACAACAACAACAACAACAACAACAACAACAACAACAACAACAACAACAACAACAACAACAACAACAACAACAGCAGCAGCAGCAGCAACAACAACAGCAGCAGCAGCAACAACAACAACAACAACAACAACAACAACGACAACAACAACAACAAACTCGCTTGGCCAGAGGAAAGCATATCAGATATCCTTGCTGAGCCACTAGCGCAAGGCAGCGCGCGCGAATATTCCACTCGCCCAAAACATTCAAAAAACTGGAGGAGCCAGCTAACATGCAACACACTGTTGTTATGACCACCCTTCGGGTGATAACGATGCTTGGTGGATGCGTGTAATTTTCGGTTTGAGATGGCGCCCAGTCGGGGTGGCGATGCACGCGCATGACTTCTGTATTTCCGCAACCGTGCCCTCTGGGTGCCCCAAGGCTCACAGCTGTGCTGCTGCTGCTGCTGCCAAAACTCTACTTCCTCAAAAACCCGGACTCCCGGTTTCCCGGGCGATCCTGGGCGCTGCCGCAAATTTCTGAAAGCTCTTGGCGTGTAACGCGGGCCAGGAAGGTCCCAAGACGAGCCTCCACAAAGACGGCCCAAGAGAGCCGTGACTCGCCTCAAAGGGGCCCCCAGATCCTCAAGAATGGCCTGAAGACGGCCACTGAGGCCCCAAGAAACTCCAAGGGAGCCCCAAGAGAACCCCCAAGAGGGCCCTAGTGTATCAAAATATGTTTCTGCCTTAGATATTTGAGCGAATTTGGCCTTATCGCCTTTCAATGCTTCACACTCCGAGACGGCCCAGGAAACCTCCAATAGCGCCCCAGGACTGCCCAGGAAGAAGACCCCAGGAGGGACCCAAGACGCCACACAAGGGCACCAAGACGGCCCAAGAGGCCCCCAAGACGGCCCAAGAGGTATCCAAAAAGGCCCCAAGAGGGGCGCAAGAGGAGGAACACGAACGCACATGTCAAGTCTTCCGCCCCATGATGGCCCCAAGAGCTCCAGGCTCCTGAGGCCCCCCAAAGACGCCCAAAGAGGCCCCCGAGAGGCCCCCAAGACACCCCAAGAGGCCACCAAGAGGCTCCCCAGAAGCCCCCAAGACCCCTCCAAGAGCCCCCCGAGAGACATCCAGACCGACCGTCATTTACATCCAAGAAGCCTCTGAACCACAGCCCAGGCACGGAGGCATGATGGGCCGAGGGCCATTGGGTTTAGATCGGGCAGGGCCTAGACCAGACGTCCCAGCCCAAATCCCCAAAACCAATATTGGACGCCCCACTGAACTCAAAAATATCTCAAACCAAATCTCGCCGCGAGACAATCTCCAAACGAATCTCCGATCCGGCGTGTGAGTTTCAAGGAGTCTCAGCTACAGCCTCGAGGCGGAGCCTCAGCCTCTGGGGGGGTTGCCGGGGTGGCTCTGCCGGGGAAGGGGGGATGGGGGGGGGGGGTGCGAGTTTCCGGCAGATGCGGGGCGCTGCTTTTACAGAAGGCTCTAATCTCGAGGATGCGCTGGAAGGGTGGCCGCGGCCGCAAAAGTCTCTGAGGACGGTCTACGAAAGTCCCGAGACCCCGAAGGATCGCCCGAACACGCCCAAGATGGCCCCAATACGGCCCCAGAGCCTTCCACGACGTCTGAAGAGGCCTCCAAGAGGCCTCCCACGATGGCCCCCAGAGGCAAAAATCGTTGATTACCATTGGTTTTTTCAATGTTTTTGGGGTTGTCGCTTTTTGTCGGCTTTCCGACGCTCCAAGACGGCCCAAGAGGCCCCCAAGACCGCTTGAAGACGGCCCAGGAGGCCCCCAGACAGTCCCAAGACGGCCCAAGAGGGCCCCAAGGCGGCCCAAGAGCCGCCCAAGACGGCCCAAGAGGCCCCCAAGACGGCCCCAAGAGGACCCAAATGAGGGACGAAAAGCGGAAAAATCTAGCCTTCCAGCCCACGAGGCCCCCAGGAGGCCCCAAGAGCCTCCAAGAGGGCCTCCGAAAGCCTCCGAGAAGCCCCCACGACGCCCTGACAGGCCCCTAAGATGGCTCAAAAAACGCCCCAAGAGGGCGTCCTTGCGCCGATAGGCTCGCACCGCTCGCACCACATCGTCCAGGCCACATGTTTCGTAACACGACTCCGTGCACGACGTATCGTGAGTTTCCAAAGTGATCGGCATCCTGTATGGAATTTTCATGTCATTATTATTTCCCGTCCCCACGGTCACTGCAAGCACCCCGCCGTTGATAGAACCACTGTTGCGAGATGGCTCTATTGACCCAACTGCATTCCTACGCCCTTTCGAAGGTAACCCGAGAAGTTTGTGCGTTTGAGTGTGCGCCCATAATGTCTGCGTTTGGAGAATAACACCGAGCGACCCGGATCGGCGGCACTGGCCGAAGGCCACTACAATATCTCAAACCAAATCTCGCCGCGAGACAATCTCCAAACGAATCTCCGATGGAATCTTCCGAAACCAAAAAGGACATACAAAACTCCTCGCCCGCGCAACCACATGGAATCCAAACAAAATCTCAAACGATACATCGCCTCTTGCCAAGCCCCAACAAGATCTCAAACGAAATCTCGCCTCTTGCCAATGCCCAACACAAATTCAAACGAAAATTCGCATCTTGCCAATCCGCAGCAAGATCTCAGACGAAATCTCGCCGTTTGCCAATCCCCAACAAGATCTCAAACGAAATCTTGGGCGACCAGAATCTCAAATGCAATTATGAACATGGGGCTGCCCGCACTGGCCCCCAAAGCAGTTGCATTGCAAACTTTCCTTTGTTCAACTGGCGCGCGAATCAAAATCGAAATCGCCCCCGCGCGCAGAAGACGCTCTCGCCCCAAATGCACCGAGAACCCAATCCCACATAAGTCACGCGCGGGCGCAAGCCATTCTGCACGCGCGCGCCGGCAGTGGCCGCGCCCCGATGCCGACCCCCCCACACACTCTGGCACACCCCTTACTGGTTTCGTAGCCACGTAAGGAACCCCACCGAAAGCACGTGGCAGCAATCGCGTAGCGCCACCCCACCACTTTGGCACACCGCTCACAAGCTTGGTGGCCACATAGGGAGCCCTACCGAAGGCCCCAATGTCAGTGCCCGCGCTCCGCCCCCCCACTTTGCTACACGCCTCATCCGTTTCGTGGCCCCGTCGGCGGCTCTCGGTGTCAGCGCCCGGATGCCGCCTCCCCCCACAGCGCCCGGATGCCGCCACCCTACCATTCTGACAGCCCCCTCCCTAAACCGCTCCGTGGCCCCATCGGGAGCTCCACCGAAGACCCCGATGACAGCGCCCGCATGCCGCCACCCCTCCCCCCACTTTAGCACGCCCCTCACACGCGTCATAGCCCCCTCAGGATGTGTACTGGGGCCGAGGAGGCGGGCGCCAGGACGGCGTTGGGGCCGAGAGGGCGGGCGAGGAAGAGGAATCAGGAATCTCTGAGATCGAGCGGTTCTGGAGGATGTATCGGGCGCCGCGGCTGTTCCAGAGCGTTCCAGAACGCTCTGAGAGCGTTTCGGAACGCTCTGGAATGATTTATGATGGTCCTGGCCCTTCCCAGAACGAGCTAACCACGGGACGCTCGCGCAGGGCACGGGGAAAGTAAGCAGCAATCTGACGTTCCCTGCCGCTGGCCCCTGCCCAGGGAAGGATCACTCTCGCCCTGGCGTAGCCTGCCTCGCCCACACGCGCGACATGAAGCGAAACCGAAACCGAGACTGATTTCCTGAAGGGGACACTCCGCTTCACTGCGGGCTCATGCGCCCAACCTCCGATAATTCTCACAATGTCGCATGTGCCTTAAGCCGAGCACATCATCCTAGGGTCATCCTTGCATACGCCCCGAGGCGCCACCACAGCCCAAGATAGCAACGTCTGCGTGATAGCCCAATTACCATCTGCGCCTTCCCTCCTGCCCCATGCAACGCAACATGAGCACGCGTGCAGAGAAGCATCAACCCGTGTAGGAACTGCGGCTGCTCGCTACCAAGCTTCAGCGTGGCAAATCTACAATCTCCAGATGGCTTTCCATAGGGGGCACTGCGATATCACATCCTGGTGAAGTTCACCTTCCTTCTAATCGGCCCATAGGGGGGGAAAGAGGGGAGAGAGAGAGAGAGAGAGAGAGACAGACAGAGAGAGAGGGAGAGAGAGAGTGAGGGAGAGAGAGAGAGAAAGACAGACAGAGAGACAGACAGACAGACGGACAGACAGACAGACAGAGGGAGGGATGGAGGGAGAGGGAAAGAGGGAGACCGGTGGCTTCACGAGGCCACAACGAAGCACTGGAAACGATGCAGCGTGCGTGTGCGCAATTTCCTGCAAGAAGACCCCCAAACAGAGGCAGATACACAACCAGCTCAGAGATAGGATGGAAGGACAGCCAGAGACGAAGAGGGTGAGGGACATGCGTAATCAAAGTGGATGCACGCTAGAGGATAAGAGCGACGCGAAAAACACGATGATCAGTAAGCACCAACTCACAAGATCAAAGATAACGAAAACTTTCAGGGCCACGACGACTACGACGGCAATGACAGCAATGACGGTGGCGATGAAAAACTTGACGCAGACGTGGCAGTTCATGTTACCATAGCTTGAGATGCGCGGGGGAGTTCACGGGCGATTGATGCTGCGTTGCTCAATATAGCACACCCGACTGACCAGCTAGTTTCACCACAGCCTCATTCGTAATCGCGCACGCTTGCATCCGTTCGTTACCTTCATATACAATCCCAGGGCTTCTCTGTATACCCTCCACGGGCATCCATGCAACATGCCCGACCGCGCCTCCCCAGATCACGTCTGCATATGCGGCATCGAAGGAATTCATGGGACCGTCGTACGTGACCTCAGTCACAAAAAGCGAGCGACACGCCTCCAGCTTGAGACTGATGCTGGTGCAGCAGCGGACAGATGGAAGTTATGGCGAGTGCCCTCACTCATTGGTCGTGGAGGGCAGGGCGGCAGCGTGCTCACGACTGGTAGCAACCGAAGGATTACCAGGCGCGTATATATGGACACTTGATGCAAACGCAAATATGACACATGCCTCGGCGCACTTTTCACCCACCCTCCCAGAGAGCTCACTTTTCCAAAGCTGCTGAGGACTCTGTATGCCACTACTGGAGAAACAGCATCTTCCCACCCGCCTGAGCCCGTAAAGCGCTGGCATGTGACAATAGAGGTTGCTACGCCACTTCTCCCTCAATCAAGGTTTATGGCCGCTGCTGAAAAGGGGCCCCGAAACACCCGCCCTGCATGCAGCGCCGAATCCCACACCCCGACCCAGCCGGCCAACAGTCCGTGCGACCGCCACAGCCGAATGAGGGCGGCCGATGCCGAAAAGCGCCCAGGCCGAGGGCAGGGATCGGAGGAGGGGAGGAGAGGCCGACGACGACGGGGAGGAGAGTGCAGGAACAAAAAGAAGCATAAGAACAATTTCTCGGAGGTCCGCGCGGAGTTCTCGGACCTGCGCAACGCCCCTCGCTGGCGCGCGGAGCGTGCCAGGGCCACCGCCGGGGGCGCCGCCAGAGGGAGCCCAAGAAATCCGCGCCGTCCTCCGAGAAGCTGTGCTCATGCGGCTCTGCCTTGTTCGAGGCCAGGGAGGAGCCCAAAGGCACCAGGTTGACTCAGACCTGTCGGAGCCTCGCGGGCGACGCCCGGCGGAGCGTAGCAGAAAGACAGGGCGACCGCGGCGGCCTCCCTGGGAGGGCAGGAGGCCTCTCCGAGGGGCCCAGCCCCTCGTGAGAGGGCCTCTGGGCGGGCCTTCCGGGCCACAGGGGCGGCCTCTGAGAGGCGGGGCGCCTTGCTTGAAGATCGCGCCCCCCTCACCCCAGGGCACCCTGCTGAGCGCCGCCCAGGGCGCCATCCCCCGAGATACCGGCCTTCTTCTCTTGTCAATGCGGCGCCCCCGAATCCGGAGCCGTTCTCTGACGGCCCCACGGCCCAGCGAGGGCCTCGAGAGGCCGACTCCTGAGAAAAAGCCTTCGCCTTGATGTCTTCTCAACGCGTGGACAGTCTGGGCCTCCGTGCGGCCGCACGGGGCCTCGCGGAGGCCGACTCCTGAGGAAAAGCCTTCGCCCTGATGTTTTCTCAACGCGTGGAAGGTCTGGGCTTCCGTGCGGCCGCACGGGGCCGCGCGGAGGCCGAGGGCGGGCGCGCCGGCGGCTTCAACGACAGGCAGGACCTGCAGGCCGCCGCCGATGCTTGCCGGACCTCCCCAAGGCTGCGAGGGCGATCGAGGATCGCGAAGGATCGAGGATGCAAGATCGAGGAGGATCCAGGGTCGAGGATCGAGGATCGAGGAGGATCGAGGATCGAGGAGGATCGAGGAGGATCGAGGACCATAAAGCGCACGATGTAGAACCACGTGACGGCCACGCAGGCCAGGGACAGGCCAGCGCGGGCCGCAGAAGGCGCGCTCCGGTAGCAGTGCTGCGCCGCCTGCGCCGCCCGACCCACAGAGGCAACCTACGAGGGCAGAGGAAGATAAAGAGGAGGAGGAGGAGGAGGAGCTGGCCAGAAAAGGCAGGAGGATGCTGATGTTGATGCTGATGCTGATGCTGATGCTGATGATGGTGCTGATGCTGATGCTGATGCTGATGCTGATGTTGATGCTGATGCTGATGCTGATGCTGATGATGGTGCTGATGCTGACGCTGATGTTGATGCTGATGCTGATGCTGATGCTGATGCTGATGATGGTGCTGATACTGGTGATCATGATGATGATACTAGTGGCAGTGATGATGATGCTGATGATAATGTTGGTGCTGATGCTGATGCTGATGCTGATGATGGTGCTGATGATGGTGCTGATGCTGATGCTGATGCTGATGCTGATGCTGATGCTGATGCTGATGCTGATGCTGATGCTGATGCTGATGCTGATGCTGATGCTGGTGATGATGATGATAATGATGCTGCTGATGATCATGATGATGATACTAGTGGCAGTGATGAGGATGCTGATGATAATGTTGGTGAGGATGGTCATGATGGTGCTGATGGTGATGCTGATGACGGTGATGATGATGATGATGATGTTGGAGATGAGGATGGTGATGACGATAAGATGATCATGATGATGATGGTGATAATGGCGGTAACGGTGATGATGATGGTGATTGTAATTGTGATGGTGGTGGTGGTAGTGCTCGTGCTGGTAATGGTGATGGGGATGGGGATGGGGATGGGGATGGGGATGGTGGTGCCGATTATGCTGATGATGATGGTGATGGTGATGGTAATGGTGATGGTGACGGTGATACTGATGATGGCGCTGAGGCTGGTGCTGGTGATGGTGCTAGTGCTGGGGATCGTGATGGTGATGGTGATGTTGATTGTGTTGGTGCTGGTGATGGTGATGGTGATGGTGATGAAAGGGTAATGGTGATGGTCATGGTGATGATGGTAATGGTAATTGTGGTAATGCTAATGGTAATGGTAATGGTAAGGGTAATGGTAATGGTAATGGTAATGGTAATGGCAATGGTAATGGTAATGGTAATGGTAACGGTAATGGCAATGGTAAATGTAATGGTAATGGCAATGGCAATGGCAATGGTAATGGTAATGGTAATGGTAATTGTAATGGTAATGGTAATGGTAATGGTAATGGTAATGATAATGGTGATGGTGATGGTAATGGTAATGGTAATGGTAATGGTAATGGTAATGGTAATGGTAATGGTAATGGTAATGGTAATGGTAATGGTAATGGTAATGGTAATGGTAATGGTAATGGTAATGGTAATGGTAATGGTAATGTAATGGTAATGGTAATGGGTAATGGTAATGGTAATGGTAATGGTAATGGTAATGGTAATGGTAATGGTAATGGTAATGGTAATGGTAATGGTAATGGTAATGGTAATGGTAATGGTAATGGTAATGGTAATGGTAATGGTAATGGTAATGGTAATGGTAATGGTAATAATGGTAATGGTAATGGTAATAATGGTAATGGTAATGGTAATGGTAATGGTAATGGTAATGGTAATGGTAATGGTAATGGTAATGGTAATGGTAATGGTAATGGTAATGGTAATGGTAATGGTAATGGTAATGGTAATGGTAATGGTAATGGTAATGGTAATGGTAATGGTAATGGTAATGGTAATGGTAATGGTAATGGTAATGGTAATGGTAATGGTAATGGTAATGGTAATGGTAATGGTAATGGTAATGGTAATGGTAAAATGGTAATGGTAATGGTAATGGTAATGGTAATGGTAATGGTAATGGTAATGGTAATGGTAAATGGTAATGGTAATGGTAATGGTAATGGTAATGGTAATGGTAATGGTAATGGCAATGGTAATGCTGGTGATAATGGTAATGGTAATGGTAATGGAAATGGAAATGGAAATGGTAATTGTAATGGTAATGGTAATGGTAATGGTAATGTTAGTGGTAATGGTAATGGTAATGCTGGTGGTAATGGTAATGCTGGTGATAATGGTAATGGTAATGGTAATGGTAATGGCAATCGAAATGGCACTGGTAATGGTAATGACACTGGAAATGGTTATGGTGCTGGTAATGGCGATGGTAATGGTAATGGTAATGCGAATTGTAATGGTGATGACATTGGTAATAGTGATGGTAGATGTAATGGTAATGGTAATGGTAATGGCAATCATAATGGCACTGGCAATGGCGTTGACACTGGTAGTTGTAATGGTAATGGTAATGATAATGGTAATGGCAATGGTAATGGTAACGGTAACGGTAATGGTAATGGTAATGGTAATGGTAATGGCAATGGTAATGGTAATGGTAATGGTAATGGCAATGGCAATTGTAATGGTAATGGTAATGGTAATGGTAATGCTAATGGCAATGGGAATGGTAATGTAGTGGAAATGGTAATGGTAATGGTAATGGTAATGGTAATGGTAATGGTAATGGTAATGGTAATGGTAATGGTAATGGTAATGGTAATGGTAATGGTAATGGTAATGGTAATGGTAATGGTAATGGTAATGGTAATGGTAATGGGTAATGGTAATGGTAATGGGTAATGGTAATGGTAATGGTAATGGTAATGGTAATGGTAATGGTAATGGTAATGGTAATGGTAATGGTAATGGTAATGGTAATGGTAATGGTAAAGGTAAAGGTGGAGGTAATGGCAATGGTAACGGTAATGGTAATGGTAATGGTAATGATAATGGCGCTGGTAATGGTAATGGTAATGGTAATGGTAGCGGTGATGGTAATGGTAATGGTAGTAGTAATGATAGTCGTAATGGTAGTGGTAATGGCAGTGGTAATGGCAATGGCAATGGCAATTTCAATGGCAATTGCAATGGTACTAGTCAAAAGAAAGGACATGAGAATGGCAAGGGTAATGGCAGTGGTAATGTGGCAGTGGTAATGGCAATGGTAATGGTAATGGTGATGGTAATGGTAATGGTAATGGTAATGGTAATGGTAATGGTAATGGTAATGGTAATGGGAATGGTAATGGTAATGGTAATGGTAATGGTAATGGTAATGGTAATGATAATGGTAATGGTCATGGTAATGGTAATGGCAATAGTGATGGTAATGGTAACGGTAATGGTAATGGTAATGGGAATAATAATGGTAATGGTGATGGTAGCCGCAATGGCACTGGCAATGGTAATGGTAATGGCAATGGTAATGGTAATGGTGATGGTAATTGAATCCGTAAAGCCGTACGCTTTGGGCGCGGTACGTCTGGCTAGTTGGGCCTGCACAACCTCCGAGGAACGAAACACAGTGGAGCAATCTCCCTTCCAGGACTCAGAGAAGGGAGAAGCCGAGACGGAGACAAAAACTTGACCAGTCTCTGCCATATGCTTGTACTAGCGGGGGCAGTATGAATATAGTTGCCAAGCTGGGCAGCTCAAAAGCGGCCATCCGAGCCGAGCTCCAAACCAAATCCGACTGGGCATGCTCCGGCCTTTTCTTCAAACTCACCCTGTAACCCCAAATCTCCCCCCCAGACGGAAGGGGAAGGGGAAGGAGGGGGAGGCGGGAGAGAAGCGGAAGTACCGGAGGGAATGGGACGAGCGAGGTGGGCTTCTGAAAACCCCGCGGACCGATGGGGCAGGGGTCGGGCGAGGGCTCGATTCTCGAAAAGTTTGGAAAAATATGCACGCGGCGCTGGCCAGCCAAAAACCTGTCCTGTCATTGGCCTTGCGAATTACCGAAGTGGGGAAGGGCAACTCTCGGCGGCATCAGCGGCAACTCGGTCGACCGAACGATTTGTTTTCAGCGACGGGCGACACGGCACCACGATCCACACAGCCCCCGCCGTGATGTGAAACAACGCGTGCTTTATCACGAACATGTCGCCCTGGATGCTGAGCACCGTTTGAAAATGCAACCAAGTCCCCGCCCAATGTCCATCAGGCCGACCCCCTCCCTCCCGGACATTCTGGAACTTTCGCACGCAGGATTGACTGTCACAAAAGACCCACCTCGGTTCTTCAGCTACTTGAACAGCGGGTAGTGAGGCAGCGGCTTCTGCTCGGGCAGTGTTCTGTTTTGGCCAACGCAACTTGGATTGGCAATTACGGCAGCGATTGATGGCATACCCGGCACGAGCTAGCCAGGGTTTCTTCTGGAATCGGCAGGCTCAATCTGTAGCAACCGCCAGCCACCACCGCCCATGTTGCCCGATGATGTAATTCACCTTGTCCTCCGCGGGGCCCTCGGCACGCGGCAGCAGAGGTGGTCGGGCTCGGGCTCTGGATCGCTCACCATATGACTGCGAAGGTCGACGCACCCCGGGTCGAGGCATGCAGCGCCGCAATGTCGCGCTCACGGCGGCCATGCAGCACTCGTAGTGCTTCTCTTTCGGTGCTGCAGCATTAACACTTCCATGGGATCAGCGCTTGCGCTTCCTCTAATATGTCGAACGGCCCTCGGGCCGCTTGCTCGTTGGAGTCGCCATTGCGCGTGGTCGCTGAGGGCCAGAAATACAGCAAGCAGCCCTCGACCCAAGCTTGCCGGCCCGCGCAAATGCTGCGCGTCCGCTAACAGCCCAGCATTCGCCAGCATGCGCACAGCTGGGGCGCGGGCAGCAGCGCCACCGAGGTCGTTCCTGGTGCTAGGTATCCTCGAACGGAACCATTTTCTCTGAGCGTCACGACGGCGGTGCATCCAAAGTTGCCGCGCCCCTGCAACCACTCGATGAACGTGCCAAGGTCGGGCTCGAGGGTGTCGACAGCAGGCCACCTCCATCGAAATTGGCCACGCATGGCGATGAGGGCGCCCGCAGATCCCAGCACAGCTCGTCGCACATCTTAAATGCACTCGCGCAGGTCTTCTGCAGAGCAACGAAATGGACGGACGCTTGATACTTGCCGTCGGATCGACAGCATCGCTCCTCGTTGGCTGAAAGCGGCTGGGTCCAGCAGGCGGCCTATGACGACTAGATCGACAAGCACCCACTCGCGCGTCCGTCGTCTCCCCTTCGGTACATGCACCGCGAAGTGTGACTGGCCGAAGTCCCGCAGCTTGGCACGTGATGGTCGACCCAGGGCCGTTCCCACTGCAATCATTGAGGCTGCAGCCGATCGCACCACCGCTGCCCGCTGTTCCCATGGCACTGAAAGTCGCTGCGCCCGTCGAAGCCGTTGAAATGCATCCCCCACGCGCTTGTGGATGAGCGCGACGTCGACGGATCCTCTAGCGACAATTGGGCCCCCGAGCAACCTGAAGGATCCCTTGACAGATAGGCGATGGCCTTTGACGGATACGCCGGCCATCAAGTCGACGGCCCACTCGTTCGCGGCCCACGCGACTCGCTTTCCCACGTGCAACTATTGCCCTGAGGCCAGGTCACACAAGACGGCACTCCAGAAACCAGACAACGGAGCACGGGGCATCGCCACCGGCGACGTTTTCCGCCGACTGGTCACCAGGGCGCTCGCTCAACAGTTCGCCGAGCAGTTCGCGGCCACAACCGCGCCCTTCTAGTTCGCCCTGGCGACGCGGGCAGGAACCGACTGCGCCGCCATGCTGCTGAGGTCAGTGCTGGACCACGACCACGACGCAGTGATTGTCAGCATCGATGGAGTCGGGGCTTTCGACCATGTGTCGAGGTCGGCCTTCTTCCAGGAGCTCCTTGCTCGCCCAGAGCTGGCCGGCTTAATCCCCTTCGTGAAGATGCGGCACGGGCAAGACTCCACCTACCTCTGGCGAGACGAAATGGGGGCTGTGCACGACGCGCACCAGGGAGAGGGAGTGGAGCAGGGGGACGCGCTGGCCCCAGCCCTCTTCGCTCTTGCCCTGCACGGAGCGCTGGCGGGCGCCTCCAGGACCCTCGAGCAAGGGGACTTCCTGGTCGTTTTCTTGGACGACGTGTACATCAAGACCACCCGGGCCAGGGCCAGAGCCGCTTTCGACACCACCACCGGAGCAATTCACCTCCACGCAAACGTGGATTGCCACCTTGGCAAGTGCCGGGCTTACAGCAGGGGCGGAGGCGCAGCGCCGCCCGGAATCGGCGAGCTGGGACAAGACGTCTGGAGGGGCGACAGAGCGCCACCCGACCGAGGAATCAAGATCCTGGGCACCCCCCTAGGCACCCCACAATTCGTCGCCGCACACCTGGAGAGCAGACTACAGGAAGAGAGGAGACTCCTGGACGAACTGGCGCACCTGCCCGACCTACAGTGCGCTCGGCTCCTCCTCCTCCTCTGCGCCTCCCCGCGGGCCAACCACCTGCTGCGAACTCTGCCGCCAGAGGAAATCGCAGAATACGCGAGAGGCCACGACGGCGACATGTGGGCCACCCTGCGCCGCCTCCTCGGGGACCCCGCAATGTCGCAAGACGAAGAGCGACGGGCGCGCGCACTGGCAGCAATGCCTGGACGACCCGCACGGAGGACTCGGGCTCCAAAGCGCCGCGCGCACGTCCCCAACGGCCTACTGGGGATCTTGGGCAGACACCCTACACATGCTCCACCAACGGCGCCCTGTTGAAGCTGCAGCGATCAGGGACCTCCTCGACGGCACCAGGCCCGGCCGTAGGGGCAACCTTGCCGCAGCCGCCGCGGCCGCACAGCTGCTCGAAACCGAAGGCTTCCGGAGACCTTCCTGGACCGACCTGCTCCAAGGGCTGCGCCCAGAAGCGCCACCGCGCTCTGAGGCCGCCGAACCGGGGGAATGGCAGCACGGCTGGCAGTTCCACGCTTGTTCCGCACGCAACACCCACTACAGGGACAACGTGTTCATGCCCAGCCTCGCCAGGGCCAACCAGGCCATGCTAAGGTCAGGCTCAGGACCGAGGGCCGCCTACTGGCTCCACACCTTACCCACCAGAGGGGCACGAGTTCAAGCCCGCGCGGTTCCTGGCAGCCTTGCGCCGGCGCCTCAGGCTCCCGCTGCCGCTCCTCCCGCACACGTGCAGGGCAGCCGGCCACCCAGGCTGCCGGGCCCGGCTGGACGCGCTGGGAGACCACCTAGCCGCGTGCCCACGCACCGGGCTTCTCGCCAGACGCGCGAAACCGCTCGAACGAGCTTGGGCGAGGGTCGCTAGAGAAGCAGGAGGGAGAGTTGTCCCCCAACAGCTGCTGCGGGACACTAACGCCGTTGTCCACAACCCGCTGGACCGCAGACAATTAGACCTAGTCGTCTACGGCATCTCGCCGAACGGCGCCCCGCTGTGCTGCGACAGCATCATGGTGTCCGCCCTCCGCAGGGACGGCTGGCACCGGCCGCGCACCTTCGACACCGACGGCGCCGCACTACTTGTGGCCGAAAGGCGCAAACGACGCAGGTACCACGAACTCACGACCGGCCAATCAGGCCGCCTCATGGTCCTCTCCTGCGAGGTCGGAGGCACGTGGGGCCGCGACTCCCTCCAGCTGGTACGCCTGCTTGCCAAGCAGAAGGCGCGGGCCGCACCGGCCCTCCTCCGCCGCTCCGCGGAGCTCGCGTACACCAACCGCTGGTGGGGGGTCCTGAGCGTCGCGGCCCAGGACGCGCTCATGGCCACCCTGACGGGCGACGGCTACCTACCCTTGGGGGGAGCCGCCGGGGAGGACGACCCAGACCTGGCCGAAGTGCTGCTCGCAGACTCCGCCGGCCCACCCGCTAGCCGCCTGCCAGCACGCCCCTGATGCTTGGCACCGCGGCCAGCACGGCCGCCCCGGGGGGCTCCGACGAGCGCCGGGAGCACCCCCGACACGGCAGCCGGCACCACGAGGAAACCAGCAGTACCATCACCACCACCACAACGGCGACCAGCGGCACCACCGCTTCGACTGCGACCCGCAGCAGAACCACCACCAACACCACCACCACGAGAGCGACCCGCAGCACCACCACGACCACGACCAGGAGCACCACGACTGCGACCAGCAGCACCACGACTGCGACCAGCAGCAGCACCACCACGACTACGACCAGCAGCAGCACCACCACCACGACCAGCAGCACCACCAGCACCACCAGCACAAGCAGCACCACCACGACTGCGACCAGCAGCCCCACGACTGCGACCAGCAGCGCCACGACTGCGACCAGCAGCACCACCACGACTGCAACCAGCAGCAGCACCACAACGACCAGCAGCACCACCACCACGACCAGTAGCACCACTAGCACCACAACGACGGCGACCAGCAGCCCCACGACTGCGACCAGCAGCGCCACGACTGCGACCAGCAGCACCACGACTGCGACCAGCAGCAGCACCACCACGACCGCGACCAGCAGCACCACCACCACGACAGCGACCCGCAGCACCACCACGACCACGACCACGACCAGCAGCACCACGACAGCGACCAGCAACACCACGACTGCAACCGGGAGCAGCAGCACCGAGACAGCGACCAGCAGCACCACCACGACCAGCACCACCAGCACAACCAGCACTACCACGACTGCGACCAGCAGCACCACCACCACTACGACCAGCACCACCACGACAACGACCAGCACCACCACTACTGCAGCTACCGCCAATGCACGCATGACAAGAACTGGTGCGAAATCGACCGGGCGAGCTGTTGTGCTACATTCTGGATTGCTTTACACGGCAGGCAAGCACAGGGGCCCGACCGACTCACCAACTATGCAATGCTACTGCTCCCTCCTGCCACCCCTGCTCACACCGGCAGTCCCGCAGCTCCCAGAAACGGAGGCCACTGCTTCTACCTGGCGCGCAAAGGCGAAGAGGGCCAGCCCTCGCACCAGAGCCGCGCGCAGACGGGCGGCCGCAGCAGGAGAAGCAGCAGAAAGCACCTCGCACCAGCAGGGCGACCACCGCGACCACCAACACCACGCGCAGCAACACCAGCGCGACGAGGAACACCGCAGCGGCAACAACGCCCACGACCGCGACCAGCACCACGCGCAAGAACACCAGCGCACAGCACAAGGCAGCGACCAAGGCCAGCACCACGAGGAGACCAGCAGTACCACCACCACCACAACAGCGACGAGCAGCACCACCGCCTCGACTGCGACCCGCAGCAGAACCACCACCAGCACCACCACCACGACAGCGACCCGCAGCACCACCACGACAACGACCAGGAGCACCACGACTGCGACCAGCAGCACGACGACTGCGACCAGCAGCAGCACCACCACGACTACGACCAGCAGCACACCACCACCACCACGACCAGCAGCACCACCAGCACCACTAGCACAAGCAGCACCACCACGACTGCGACCAGCAGCACCACCACGACTACGACCAGCACCGCCACGACTGCAACCAGCAGCAGCACCACAACGACCAGCAGCACCACCACCACGACCAGCAGCACCACCAGCACCACCACGACGGCGACCAGCAGCCCCACGACTGCGACCAGCAGCACCACGACTGCGACCAGCAGCACCACGACTGCGACCAGAAGCAGCACCACCACGACTGCGACCAGCAGCCACCACCACGACTGCGACCCGCAGCACCACCACGACCACGACCAGCAGCACCACGACCACCACGACCAGCAGCACCACCAGCACCACTAGCACAAGCAGCACCACCACGATTGCGACCAGCAGCACCACCACGACTACGACCAGCACCACCACGACTGCAACCAGCAGCAGCACCACAACGACCAGCAGCACCACCACCACGACCAGCACCACCACCACCACCACCACGACGGCGACCAGCAGCCCCACGACTGCGACCAGCAGCGCCACGACTGCAACCAGCAGCACCACGACTGCGACCAGCAGCAGCACCACCACGACTGCGACCAGCAGCACCACCACCACGACAGCGACCCGCAGCACCACCACGACCACGACCAGGAGCACCACGACTGCGACCAGCAGCACGACGACTGCGACCAGCAGCACCACCACGACTACGACCAGCAGCACCACCACCACCACGACCAGCAGCACCACCAGCACCACTAGCACAAGCAGCACCACCACGACTGCGACCAGCAGCACCACCACGACTACGACCAGCACCACCACGACTGCAACCAGCAGCAGCACCACAACGACCAGCAGCACCACCACCACGACCAGCAGCACCACCAGCACCACTGCGACCAGCAGCGCCACGACTGCGACCAGCAGCACACCACGACCAGCAGCAGCACCACCACGACTGCGACCAGCAGCACCACCACGACACCAGCACTGACCAGACACCGACAGCACCACCACGACCACGACCACGACCAGCAGCACCACGACAGCGACCAGCAGCACCACGACTGCAACCGGGAGCAGCAGCACCGAGACTGCGACCAGCAGCACCGCCACGACCAGCACCACCAGCACAACCAGCACTACCACTACCACGACTGCGACCAGCAGCACCACCACCACTACGACCAGCACCACCACGACTGCGACCAGCAGCAGCACCACAGAGACCAGCAGCACCACCACGACCAGCAGCACCACCAGCACCAACACGACGGCGACCAGCAGCCCCACGACTGTGACCAGCAGCGCCACGACTGCGACCAGCAGCACCACGACTGCGACCAGCAGCACCACCACCACGACAACGACCAGCACTACCACCACCACGACCGCGACCCGCAGCACCACCACGACCACGACCAGCAGCACCACGACTGCGACCAGCAGCGTCACGACCGCAACCGGGAGCAGCAGCACCGAGACAGCGACCAGCAGCACCACCACGACCAGCACCACCAGCACAACCAGCAATACCACGACTGCGACCACCAGCACCACCACGACTACAACCAGCACCACCACGACTGCGACCAGCAGCAGCACCACCACGACCAGCAGCAGCACCACCTCGACCGCGACCAGCAGCACCACCACGACTGCTACCAGCAGCACTACGACTGCCACCAGCAACACCACGACCACGACCAGCAGCAGCACCACCACGACTGCCACCAGCAGCTCCACCACCACGACCAGCAGCACCACCAGCACCACCAGCACAACCAACACCACCACGACGGCGACCAGCAGCACCACCACTACTACGACTAGCACCACCACGACCAGCAGCACCACCACAACTGCGACCAGCAGCACCAACACAACTGCGACCAGCAGCACCACGACTGCGACCAGCCGCAGAACCACTACCAGCACCACCACCACGACTGCCACCCGCAGCACCACCACGACTGCGACCAGCAGCACCACAACTGCGACCAGCAACACCACGATTGCGACCAGCAGCAGCACCACCACGACTGCGACCAGCAGCGGCAGCACCACCACCAAGACCAGCACCACCAGCACAACCAGCACCACCACGACTGCGACCACCAACACCACCACGACTACGACTCGCAGCGCCACGACGGCGACCAGGAGCAGCACTACCACGACCGCAACCCGCAGCAGCACCACCAACACGACCACGACCAGCAGCAGCACCACCACGACTGCGACCAGCACCAATTCCGACCGGCAACACGACCCCCAGCAACGACGGGCACCACCTGCAACGACCAGCAGCAACGACGCGCACCTGCACGACGACGCGCACTGACGACGCCCACCGCCCCTTCCCCTCGCCTTTCCCTCGGCCTCTGTCCCCTCGTCTCGGTCCCGTCTCGTTCGCCCCCTGCACCCGCGTCGTTCGCCCCTCGCCGTTCGGGCCCGGCTCGCGCCCCTCGCCCCCTCGTCCTCCGTCCCCCGCCCGCCCCACCCCCGCCTGGAGTCCAGACCCAGCCGCGCCTGCGAGACAAGGGGGCAGTGGCAGCAGGCTATGGCGCTGCTGATTCCCAAACTGGGGCCCAGCGTCATCAGTTGTATCGCTGGGGCCAGCGCACGTGCGAAAAATGAGCAGCGGCAGTGGCAGCGAGCCAGGGAGGAGAGCGAGGCGGCAGAGGAGGAGATAGAAGAGGAGGAGAAGGTAGCGGACGAGCAGGACCAGGTCGAGGAGGAGGAGAAGGCGAAGATAATCGCGCTCGACGTCAGTGGGCAGTGGCATCGAGCCAGGGAGTCAGGACGTGGAGGAGGAGGAGGAGGAGGAAGACGGGAGGTGATGGTGGAGCCAAGCGTCATCAGCTACAGCTCTGGGATCAGCGCATGCGCGAGAGGCGAGCAGTGGCAGCGGGCTCTCTCACTGCCCAGCGAGATGCGGGAGGCGAAGGTGGAGCCAAGTGACATCAGCTATAGCTCTGGGATCAGCACCTGCGCGAAAGACGAGCAGTGGCAGCGGGCTCTACCACTGCTCAGCGGGATGTGGGAAGTGAGGTTGGAGCCGAATGACATCAGATACAGCCCTGGGATCAGCGCGTGTGCGAACGGCGAGCAGCGGCAGCAGGCTCTCCCGCTGCTCAGCGAGATGTGGGACGCGAAGGCGGAGCCAAGTGTCATCAGCTACAGCTATGGGATCAGCGCGTGCGCCAAAGGCGAGCAGTGGCAGCGGGCTCTATCGCTGCTCTGCGAGATGTGGGAAGTGAGGTTGGAGCCAGATGCCATCAGCTACAACTCTGGGATCAGCCCTGGGATCAGCGCGTGTACGAACGGCGAGCAGCGGCAGCGGGTTCAATCGCTGCTCTGCGAGATTTGGGAGGCGAAGGTGGAGCCAAGCGTCATCAGCTACAGCTCTGGGATCAGCGCGTGCACGAAAGGCGAGCTGTGGAAGCGGGCTCTATCGCTGCTCTGCGAGATTTGGGAAGAGAGGTTGGAGCCAGATGCCATCAGCTACAACTTTGGGATCAGCGCGTGCGCGAACGGCGAGCAGCGGCAGCAGGCTCTCCCACTGCTCAGCGAGATGCGGGAGGCAAAGGTGGAGCCAAGTGTCATCAGCTACAGCTCTGGGATCAGCGCATGCGCGGGAGGCGAGCAGTGGCAGCGGGCTCTCTCACTGCCCAGCGAGATGCGGGAGGCGAAGGTGGAGCCAAGTGACATCAGCTATAGCTCTGGGATCAGCGCGTGCGCGAAAGACGAGCAGTGGCAGCGGGCTCGATCACTGCTCAGCGGGATGTGGGAAGTGAGATCGGAGATGAGGGAAGTGAGGTTGGAGCCAGATGCCATCAGCTACAACTCTGGAATCAGCCCTGGGATCAGCGCGTGTACGAACGGCGAGCAGCGGCAGCAGGCTCTCCCACTGCTCAGCGAGATGCGGGACGCGAAGGTGGAGCCAAGTGTCATCAGCTACAGCTCTGGGATCAGCGCGTGCGCGAAAGGCGAGCAGTGGCAGCGGGCTCTATCGCTGCTCTGCGAGATTTGGGAAGTGAGGTTGGAGCCAGATGCCATCAGCTACATCTCTGGGATCAGCGCGCGCGCGAACGGCGAGCAGTGGCAGCGGGCTCTCTCGCTGCTCAGCGAGATGTGGGAGGCGAAGGCGGCGCCAAGTGTCATCAGCTACAATGCTGGGATCAGCGCGGGCGAGAAGAGGGGGCAGCGGCAACAGGCACTCGCGCTGCTCAGCGCGATGCTGGACGCGAAGCTGGGACCCGACGTCGCGGGTTACAAGGCTGGGACTGGCGCGCGCACAATGCGGAAGCAGTGGCAGCGGGCCCTATCGGCGATCATCTGCAGGCAGATGCAGAAAATGGAGCCCAATGTCATCAACTACAGCGCTGGAATTGGCGCCTGCACGAAAAGGGACCAGTGGCAGCGAGCCCTATCGAAGCTCATCTGGCTGGTCGCGTGCTTCAGCTCCTGGGCTGGCGCTCGCACGGCAGGCGGGCAGGGCCGGCGGGCGCTGCGGCCGCGGGCCGCCGGGCCGGGGCAGCTCTGGCGGCCTTCGCGGGCGGCTTTGCCGGGGCGCGGAGGGGAGCCGGCCGGGCCAGGGCCTCGAGAGCTGCTTCCGCGGCTTCTGGGCGCCGCCGGAAGCCTCCGGAAGCCGAGGCACGCAGGGCGGCTCGGCCGGGCGGGCGGCGGGCGGCGGCGGCTGGCGGCGCGAAGACCGCGCGGTGGCCAGCGGGCCCGCCGGGCCGCCCAAGGCGACCGCGGGCGCCGGCAGCCCAGCCAGGGGGCCAGCCAGAGGGAGCCGGGCGCAGCGGCCCCTTTCGCCCCGGACTCGGCCAGGGACCGGGACTGGGACTGGGAGAGGAGAGGAACAGGAAGAAGAAGAAATATATATATATATATATATATGCATATATAAGACTGGAGATGCCCCGACGCGCCCGGCGGGAATCGTCAAAAAATCTCACCGGACACGACCGCGGGATCACTCTGCGTTGTCTGGCCGCCCACACGTACACTCAGAACTTGAGATCATCGGCGCCGAAAGCTGAGCCTTGTAAATGAACGTTCTTTCTGCGCGTGCCTGACATACTCGGGCGCCTTCCTTGCGGCGGAGGTAGACATTCTCCACCCGCGAAGAACACTTTCAGGACATCCAGTGCGCCTTGTTACTTCGGGCCCCATGTGTCCTGGGCACTCGAGGTGGGGGATGAGCCCGAATTTGGCGACCATGGCGCTCGCGCCCTCGACGGCCAGGATGTTTTGCATTAGGTAGTGCGCTCGTGCTTGTCGACGCGGCCCTCGGCAGGGTCGCGATCATATCATGGCCCCCCGGCAAATTGACCCGCTTGAGACATTGACCCACCCACCTCCTTGCAACGACCCGTTGATCGGCAATGCCACACTGAGCGCCCATGGCAACGGAGCACGGCGCAGCCGTGCCTCGGGGGGCCGCTGCTTGCCAGACTTCCGAAAAGAAGCCCCCTTCTTGGAATCAGCAGCCACTGCGAAGGGAACTGCCGGGCAGTCCGTGACCTGGCCACTTGCGTCGGCGATGGGCAGCGTTCCCACGAGTCCCTCACGCGCCCCAGTGCGCCTTCCATCCACGGCGGCCCAGCTGGGCATTGAAGTCGGGAAGCTGGGATTGCATGCCCCCCACTTCCCGCGCAGCGCCGCCACTACCACTCCGCGCTCGCCGAGCGCCGCCAGAAGCCCCCGATGCGCATGCAAGGACGCGACGCTGAGCGAGAACAGTCGGCGCCGGTCTGGCCCGCCACTCCGCGGCGAGTCCGAGCGGGCCCAGCGTCGGCGGACTCGAGTTCCACTGGGCCTCAGAAGCGCCCGGGGAGCACGCTAGCGAGGACAATCCTGACCCGGGCAAAAAACCAGAGCAACACGACGACGAGGTAGGCCCGCTAGCGCTCGAGGGGCACGCAAGCGGAGGCGATCCTGACCCCAGATGAACAGGGCGATAACACGGCGACGACGCAGCGTCACTGGCGCAGAGTCAGTTGATGGCGTCGCCGTGGAAATCATAGCTGCGGTCGCAGCGGTGGGATGTCTCCCCGTCGCCACACTGATCGCAGACACCCCACGCGATACAATACTGCCGGGGGCAAGTCCGATAATAACTTCCACGGTCTTCATGGACCACATTGCGCCCAAGACCTGCAGGCCGAACTTCCCATCGAAACGTCGGGCAATCCTTGCTCGGGCCCCATGAGGCTGCACGCGCGGCATTCTCTGTCGGCACGTCGGGGCGCTGTCGCCGGAGGTTCACCATCTTCCAAGTCTCCAGCCAAACCGCCTGGGAGCTGGCCTGGTCGTTCGCCATCGTGGCGATGATCCTGATGCTCTGCTGGCGTAGCTCCCGCACTGCTGCCTGCGCATGCACGGCGGCGTCGTCGAGCTTCCTGCGGATGTTCGCGGCGTCCGCGCGATGCTTGTACATGACGGCCTTCAACTCCTCGGCTGCGTTGACCTGCGCCTCGGCGCCTTTCCCCAGGTCGAAGATGCGCTGGTGCTCGGCGCCCGGTAGTTGGACAGGTACCGTTTCTGCTTGGGTTCGCGGGTTCACCCCGCGATCCTCGCGCATGGCTTCACCAGCGCAGCTGGGGGGCTGGCCCAGCAGAGCCGCAGTCCAGCGCGGTGCAGGGCCCGCGCTGGATGGGCCACCTGCAGGCGCGCTGCCCGTCGGCGGGGGCGCCGCGATGCCGCGCTCCTGCAGGGGAGACCGCGGGCTCCATGCGTTTGGCCGCCGCCGCGACCCCCGGCGCGATCCCCGTGACCATCCAAGGACTGGCGGTGCCGAGCTTCCAGCACGCGTTGCTCGGCTCGGCACTGGATAGGGCAATAGCGAAGTTGATCCCCTCCGTGCTGCCGAAGCCGACGTGGGCGATCTCGGCCGACCATCCCAGCGATCGAGCTGCGTCTGCGACCTGACCATTGGCGGCCTGGCCATTGCGAAGACCATCGATGCGCACTTGCGCCGCGCCCGTACTGTAGCTGATCCGCTGGTCGCCGCGGCGGCAGCTGTGGCTTCCTCGCGGGCGCGGAGCACGCGCGTGTCGAGTCGGCTTCGGTCTACACTAGCAATGCCCAAGGACGCCTTGTGGCCCGTGGATATGGAGTAGGCGTCCTGCACGGTGATCGTCTTGTTGAACCATCCCGTCTGGACGCGTTCCTTGTGTTTTTCTTTCGTTCGTTATGTTTCTGTTTCTGTGGCGATGTTCGACTATGTGATTGCGATGCCTCCGTAGCCTAAATACGTCATGATCGTCTCCTGCTGCTCCTGCCGGATCGCCAGAATTACCCATCGTTCGGAATCCTTCCTGCTCGCCGGCTCGAAGATGTCGACCGGGCTCATCTAGGAGCCCGATATCGGGGCAGACGGCTGCCGTGGTGGACTTGTATGTATTCGCGTAGGCCTGCCGACAGAGCGAGCCTGCCATCGGACTTGCGTGCCTGCCGCCATCGCTCCTTCGCGGAGTTGCGCAATGGGTCGGCCTTCTTCGCTGGCGGGTCTGCACTAATAGGCACAGCACCGCCGAACTTGTTTCCCACTGCAAACACCCATCAGCAACATCCCCCACTCCGATTGCGCATCGAATCCGCTTCCCCGCTGAACTGGCTGCCGGTGACTTCCTTGACACACACGTTGACTTGGAGCGCGTCCGCCTCGTGCATCGTGATCCTCATGAACGCGGCATCGTCCTTGACGTGTCTCGGCGATGCTCGTCTTGAGTTCGACCTTTTCTTCACCGAACTGGTAGATGGCTCCGTTCATGAATATCTGAAGCGGGCGCTTCGGCCCGCGTGGCACCGTCAACACTGGAAGCTGGACACCTGCGTGGGGCCACTGCCTGGTGCCTGCACCTACGGCGACGATGGCCACCGGCTCTTTCTGACGTCGTAGGGTTGCGCGCCAGTTCTCCGCATCAACCGTAGGATGTAAAGAGACAAAGGTTTCGCACTCACCAGTGCCCAGCTTCTTCGGCCCAGTATCCATGCCCTTGCCCTTGTGCACTCCCGAGTTCGAAGTCCCATGAGTCATGTCGGCTGCACTAATTTTGCGGCGTTTGCACTCATGAATTCACGATACCTGTTGCTTCGCCCAGACTTTCTGTAACGCCCTGGGCTGCTTCTCCTCGAAGTCATGGCCAACAACTGGTGCAACCCTGCTTGGTCTGTGTGGAACTCGTTGTAGGCTGCGGTGGCGCGATCGCCTCCACCCTGCAGGATCATCTCCGCGACCTCCTCCTTGCGAGCTGCCGACCCCCTAAATTGGTTGTTCCCCTGTTTTCCCATCCCGTCGCACCGAAAGAGAGGGAGAGAGAGAGAGGGGGAGAAAAAAAAAACACAAAACGAAAACAACAAAAACAAAACAAACATAAACAACAGCAACCAAAAACGAGACCGACCTTCTGCAGTGCTGTGCACATTGTCAGTTGGGCCACGAATACGCGCGACTATGGGCTCTGAGGTCAGGTCGCATGGGCTGCGCTCGCTACCTCCCAGAGAAGCTCGAACCCGTAAGGTACTGATGGTGACGGTGATGGTCATGGTGACGGTGACGCTCATTCACGCAATTCCGTCGAACCCAAAAAGAGCAAGAGGCACAGCTGGTCCCTCGAGACACTCCCAAGACAAGAGAAGGAGGACAAGTGACGCCAGTCGGAATGGGAAGAAAGGAGGCGCAGCAAAAGGAGGCAACGGCGGGAACCGTCATCAGGTGTCTGCCGCCAGAGGAGGCTGAAGGAGATCGGGGGAGTGGGAGCATCAGGAGTAAATACTTGAGACGAGCAAGGAAGGGGGGAGGTGTGGTCAAGCGAACAGCAGAGGGTGGGGTAAGACGGACGAGGACGGCGACGAAGACGAAGAGAAGGAAAGAGGGGGGGGAGACGGAGGGGAGGGGACGACGAAGACGACGACGAATAAGAGGACGACGACGACGAAGAGGAGGAGGGAACAAACAGAAAAATAGCGATGAGGAGGACGAGGAATAAAGGCGGAGGAGAAAGGGAAGCAGGGGGCAAATCTTGGAATGATCAGGGGCAAAGGGTCCAACGTCGCAGCCACAAATAAGACTGACCCATGCAAAGCTAACGTGGACAGAACTAACTGTAATCAAGAAAACGTCGCGTCCGCTCAAACTCTAATCTGGGCGTGGCATGAACAATCAATCCACAAGCCGCCTCCTTTGTGCCTTGGGGAAGCCACGTGACACATCGACACAAACCCAATATGTAAATGAAGCGACTGGCAGCAAGGACAGGAACTCAGGGCCCTTACTTTATCAGCTGTCGGCAAAGCATGAGGTAGCAAGTGTGAGGAGCACTGTCTTTGACGATCTTATCGTTCCGCATCCGGGGTGTAATGCGGTTGTCGTCTCCACCACAAAAGCATGTGAACGACGCTTGCCAGGACTTGCCTTGATGAAGCAAGTATGGTAGGCATCCAACAGAGCCAAAGTTCTTCACCAAAAAACTGACTCCGAATGCAATGACGAGTAATGATAAAACAAAAAAACACACTACGCCAGCGAAAAAAAGGAACCACACAGAATGCAACCACCATTATCTTGACATATCCCACTAACGGAAAGCACGCATGCACAACAAACACTCCGCTTGTCACACTTACATACATGTCATCGACCAGCACTGCAATACGACCGCGCCAAGCCGAAGCACAGTGACATCAACAACTGCACGTTCCATCATTACGCGTGGGACAGTGGTATTTGTACCATGCATGCCAACCTCAAGACGCCGCACTGCAAAACAGGCAACACATGCGCCCACACAGGATGCAAACGTCACTCCCCCACCAGCAGCAGAACTACAAAATATGGAGTCATGCGGTAGCACCCAGCGGCCATCGCAATAAGGCCACCCATGGTCAATACAATCGGCAGCTGGCTGTGGGCCACATCAACCTCCCCGCTACATTCAAGCTGATACGCATTGCTTAGGCAATGATTTAGGAGCAGGCGGCCAACGAATCTCACCACAGTGCGGTTGACACAACCATGCTACCCTGAAAAAAACAGCGTCTCGGGTCTGAGAGACAACATTGTGCGGACCGCTGCGCGCGAAGATTCCTGGTAGCACACACGGGCACAATTTTAACAAAAGATTTTAAGCGTCGACGTGACGCGGCCACCGTGCCGAAGTCACTGAGCGGAATGTCCTCATGTCTATGTCGAGTGTCGAGTCTTCTGAATTGAGTGTTGCATCTGATTCCAGGCGCGCTTGAGGCTTGCCGCGTGGCCTGCCTGGAAGCCGTGGGGCCGTGGTTGGGAGCCCATACATCCCAGGTGTCCTGAGATAAACTCAGGGCGGACCTGGGGATCTCGTAAAGGCCTATGGGCCGCATTGCAAACCCCTGGGCTGGCCTGGGGGGCCACTAGATATATCGTTTGTATTGTCTTGGCATGTTCGGTTCCCGGGCTTGAGAGCGCCCACGAGCGCCCAAAAGGCCCCGAAGATCGCCCCAAGACGTTTCGATGTCCCCAAGACGGCATGTCCCCACACAGGAAAGGGGAAGGGATGGTAAGGGGCGGCGGTGATTCGCCAGATGCGTCTTGGATACAGCTCTCATACTACAATCAACGACTTTGCACCGAGAAAACAGGTCGGACAGAACTCAGGCGTTGACTGGGGGGCTAAGTCGCGAGCGCCAGCGGACCCAAGGCGGCCCAGGAAGTCCCAAGGGGGCCCCACGAGGTCCCGCAGAAATCCCGAACACGAACAAAACGGGCCAAAGGCGCCCCGCGGTGGCCGCAAGACGCAACAGGCTCCCTCAACGGCACAGGGGGCCCGAAGAGGACCCCGAAGAAGCCTTTGCTCCAGGTGTTTGCACCATTTCGGTACGCTCGCCCGTTCGGTTTTCCGACTCACCAAGCCCCCGCGCTCGCCAAAATATTGCACACAAGGCGCCCTAGAGGGCCCCAGAGGAGACCCATGAGGTACCCGAGACTGCTCAACAGGGGCCCACCCTGGCCCACGAGGGCCCCAAGACGAGCCACGTAAGCAGTGAAACATGCAGGCGCGATCAGTGAACTCGCGATTCCACTGAGATGGGACCTCCTCCACCTCCGCCTCCTCCTCCTCATCCTCCTCTTCCTCCTCCTCCTCCTCCTCATCACCATCATCATCATCATCATCATCATCATCATCATCATCATCATCATCATCATCACCACCACCACCACCACCACCACCATCATCATCATCATCATCATCATCATCATCATCATCGTCATCATCATCATCATCATCATCATCATCATCATCATCATCATCATCATCATCATCATCATCATCATCATCATCATCATCATCATCATCATCATCATCATCATCCTTCCTCCGCCTCCTCCTCCTCCTCCACCTCCTCCTCCTCCTCCTTTTCCTTCTCACTCCTCTTCCTCCTTCCCCCGTCCTCCTTCCATTTTCCTCCTTCCTTCTTCCGCCCTCCTCGTTAATCTTCCTCCTTCCTCCTTCATCCTCCCTCCTTCCTCCTTCCTCCGTCCTCCGTCGTCCTTCCTCCTTCTTCCTTCCTGCCTCCTCCATCCTCCCTCCTCCCTCCTCCCCCCTCCCTCCCTCCACCCTCCTCCCTCCTTCCTCATCCCTCCTCCCTCTGGCTAGCGCGATCGTCGGCTTTGCTACTATTGACGTAAAGCTCTGCTATTGCCACCACCACCCTCCCCAGTACTTTCATAAGTGCTAAACCCACTCTGTAACCGGCGACGCCGTGCTCCACACCCGGACCCCGCACCCAACTGAGCAGCACCGCGGTCCAAACCGCGCCAAAGCCTCGTCGCGCCACCCCTGCACGCGCCGCGCCTCACGCGCCGCGCGGGGGGCGGGCGGCCGACCTGGCTCCTTCGCGGGGCGCCGACGTTTGGGGCGCAGGGTGCGCCTGGGGCGAAGGGGGGGGGCGCCCACAAAAGGTGGAAGAAGCAGACGAGGCGCGACCAGAAGGCGCCAGGCGCCGAGAGGGCCCAGGAAGGCCCACGCCAGCAGCCGAGGAGAGCGCGGAGGGTGAACAGGAAGAGAAGGTCGAGGAGGCAGCGCCGCAGGAACCAGACAAGCGAAGCGAGGAGAAACCACAGGAGGCAGAGGCCAGACAGCGCGCGCGAGGAGGAGGAGGAGGAGGACGAGGAGGAGGAGGAGGGAAGAGGAGGAGGGGGAGCAAACGACACGCTAGGGAGAGCGCTCGTCAGTCGATCAGCGGCGCTGCGGCCCCGCGCCGCCCACGAGGCATCGGGGGAGCCTCAAGGCGCAGCGAGCGGCGGCAACAACCTCCTTGTGGTAGACGTAGTCGTTGTAGTCGGCGGGCATGCCGTTCTCGGAGCGCACCCGCATGATGTTGTAACTGCGGTAGGCAACGGCCATGCGCGTTATGGCGCGCATCGGGCGGTCGTCGATGATGTCGTTCCGGTGGAGGCCCAGGCGCGTGAGGGCATCGCCAGCAAGTCGTCCACGTGGTTGTGCCAAGAGCGCCCACATCCGTGGGCACGAGATGTAGTGGCTGATGTCGTCCGTGTTCTTGGCCTGCAAGTCCTTGTCGCAGCCGAACAAACAGGTATTCTTGTGAGGGTTGACGCGCATGCGATGCGAGGTCGCCCATGCGCCTGACAATGTCTCGACCGCGGGCCAGGAGAGCGACGCCGTGGAGTTCGCCAGGTGGGACCGTAGATCGCGCCAAGCGTGTTCAACACTAGCAGGGAGAGCAGCGCGGCCAAGAAGTCCGTCACGGTCGGAGGTATCGGAGTCCGTCATGATGTCGCTGGTGGAGTGGGTGGGAAGCGTGGTGGCGGTCGTAGTTGTAGACGCGGTGTCGCCGTCATCCTGCGGGAAGTTCGGGTTGGCGGCACGTTCGCGTTCGCTCCAGCGACGACGGGCACGGTGTTCAGCAGCTTCGTCAGCAAGTTCTCGATGAGTGGTAGTCGACATGCGCTCGCTGGTGTAGATCTCCAGGCGGCGGTTACGAGGACGGTCAGCTCGACGCCACGCACCGCAACAGATCTCCGTCGCCATGTCACGGCGAGCGCTGGCAGACCCAAACGCGTCGTCGAGGCTGAAGCGCGCATTGAACTGGGGGCGGTGTAGCACAGCTGCGACGTAGGGGACGCACCAGTCCATCCAGTCGTTGAAGTTGCCCATGTCGCGGCCGAAGAACACGCTGGGGATCCATCTCGCTGCCCATGCTTCAGAGCGTTCGTTGAGGTACTTCATGGAGTCGTGGTTGTCATTCCCAGCCGGTTGCTCGGATGTAGAAGGCGCCATCGGAGAGCCACTATCGACAGGAAGCATTGGGAACCAAGCACGAAGACGATGATGAATGGTCTTGTGGAAGGAGTCGCGGCACAGCTGGCGTTGTAGTTCACGCAGGTAGGCTTGCTGCGGGGAAGTTCGCGATGCGACGCTCGAGGTAGTAGCACTCGAAGAGATGAGCCCAGCTTGTCTCTGATGAAGTCCGCCAGTCCTGTCGCGACTGGGTGTGTGAAGGCCACCAGCCCTGTCACGACTTGGCGCCTGGTAATCACCAGTCCTGCCACGACTGGGCGCGCAGAGATCCTCCGCCTTGTCACGACGGGAGGCCTGGAGAGCATGCCGTCCAGCTGCAGCAGCTTGCGCATGAGCTCGTTGAAGTACACGGGCGGCGGTCACCGTAGAACCTGTGGATCGCGTGAGAGCCTTGAAGACGGAGCCTTTGCCTGTCACGATCAGCTTGTTGTGGTAAATGGCGTCGAAGCGCTGCGCAATGGAAGCGTCGTCAATCCAACATGAGGCAGACCAGCTGCCAGCCAAAACGTCGCATAGTGGGGGGAGGTCTTCAGCATGAGCACGGAGTTCGTGAAGTAGAGGCTGCCAGCCAGGAATGGTCGTAGTGGAGGCGCGCCACATAGTCGCAGCAAGAAGCGTTTCGATGCCCTGCGGGATCGTGGCGGACGCCCACAGCGTGAACGACAGGATGTCCATATTCGTGAAGCTCGAGGGGGCAGCACGGATCAACTTGTGGAGGCCATGAATCTCCTTGGACAGGAATGCTGGGGATGGCGGGTAGAGCTGGCCCACGTACGAAAGACAGGTGATGGCAGCGGAGTTGTACATCTCGATGCTCTGCTGGATGGGAGCGTTGGAGTCGCTCAGGATCTGAATGCGTTCCCACCACTTGTTGGCAGATCCTTGCCATCGACGGTCAAGAGAGGCGCCAGGGCCGATGTGCACGCCGAGGTATCGCGCAAAGCTGTTGATGGAGAAAGCTTGCCACGTCTCGTAGATCTGGGTCAGAGTAGCACGCACGTTCGCGGTGATCTCGGGCGCCGGCAGGGACCAGGTGGGCACGAGGACGCACTTCTTCGGTTGGAGGCGGAGGCCAGCGTAGTAGTGAGCAGCTTGAAGGCGTGGGAGAAGAGCGCCAAGATCTCGAAGTGCAGCAAGAACGATACCCAAGTCGTCGGCGCAAGCGCTGAGAAGGCCTCTGCCCAGAGCGGTGAGTTCCAGCTTGAGGCCCTTGATGATAGGATCGAATACGAGCGCCCAGAGCGCGCCGCTCAGGGGACATCCTTGAGCACCCCTGATTCTGCGAGAAGCAGCGGCCGGCGGATCCCACCAAGCTCGAGAAAGGCAAGTGGCATGTAGTAGCAACTTTGCAAGAGATTGAGAAAGACGCCGTGGATGCCCCATCGCCGTAGAGTAGCCCACAACCACGCGCGCGTAAGACTCGGAAACGCTGCAGCAATGTCCATGCTGGCGAAGCAGGGCATCAGGGTGGAGGCGTCGCCGTTGATGCTGGCGAGGCGGGCGATGGTGTCAACCTTGACGATGTTGGAGAGAAATTGACGGCCATTAACAACGCCTTGTTGCTCTTCTTCGGCGTCCGACGCGACGGAGCTGAGGATGCGATTCGTGGCGGAGGCGATGATCTTGATGTCACTGTTCTTCATGGCGAGAGGGCGGGGACAGTCAGAGCTGCGGGGGCACTCGCAGTTGCCCATGGGCTCGTCACCCTTGGGAATCATGGCCATGAGCGCGTAGTTCAGGTCGTAGGGGATCGGGCCGCCGCGAGCAATGGAGTGGAGGAGGTCGTGGAGAATAGCGATGCTGCGGTCGGATCGCACCCAAGCGCGGTAGGGAAGTACGTCAGGTCCAGGAGCTGAGTCACTGGCGAGTTTAGCTGCGGTTTGGAGTTCAGCAACCCCAGGTAGAGGCAGATGCCGTGGAGGTGCTGGTGGGAAGACCATGTCCAGGCACTGCTGCATCGCCGGGGTGTCTACTGGCTTGGCGGCAAACACCTTCGACCAGTGTGATTGAATAGCGCTGTGCATGCTCGTGGGGTCGTCGGCGACTGTCGGGCCTCTGCTGTCGGCGATGTGGACGCCTGCGAGAATCAGGCGCTTCGAGAACGGCTTCCAGATCTCACTGCGCTGTCCAATACGGCGGGCACGACGTCGCCATTGTTCACCCAGGTCGGGCCGTTGTTCAGCGCAGGCAGCTCGTTAGCGGGCGGCAGCAGCACGACGACGCTGTTCCGCGATCTGGCGTTGCATGGCGGAGTGCTCAGTCTCGAAGGCGGCGCGGTCGGCACGAGAGATCGCGCGGCGGTGGATGTCGACGCGTCGTGCCCCTGCGGTGGTGTCGTTACGAAGCCGCTGGGCAAGAGTGAGGTCCTGGTACGAGATGGCCCCGGCAATACTGCGGAGCGTAAGCGCACGCGCCTCTACTACGACATGTGAGTCTTCCCTATCCAGTCTCGGAACGAGGGGGCAGACGGGTACACTTGGGATCGCTCCCTGACCTTCCGCCCCTTCGAGCTGGGACGAGCGCGGCATGCGCGGTGATTGCATAGCCCTCGGAACGAAGGAGCCGATGGGTACACTTGGGACCGCTCCCTGACCTTCGGCCCTTTCGGGCTGGGACCTCTGGCTCTCGATCGGCATGAGCTCGGAGGCGGAGAAGGTGGTGATGGTGTCGCGAGACTTGCGCGCCGCCAGCTTCATTATGTGCTTCATTGTCCGCCAGTTCGAGATGGGGTCGGCAGAGAAGTCGGCCATCTCGACAAGGCGCTGGAAGTAGAACTTGTAGCGCTTGGACTCGAAGAGGAAGGCAGGTACGCCACGCTCGCTGACTGGGCGCGGTTGTCGAGGTCGAAGTCGTAGATGTAGAAGTTTGCGATCGCTGATGGGCTCTCCTTCACGATCAAGCGGTCTGCCATCGGCGACAAGAAGGGACTCGATGTGCGGGATGTTGGACGCGTTGATCGAGACGAAGCATCTGTCGATGGTCGCCTCCGTTAGGTTGGCAGCGCATCGATGAGTGGTAGCCTTCGTTGTGATCTCCATCATATGCGAGAAGATGTTCTTCCAGAAGACGGGCTGGTAGTGGTAGCGCACGGCAGTGGAGTCCGCGGTGGGGTGGAGCAGGCTCTTCGGCGGCGTCTGAACGATGTTGAAGTCGCCGACCATGAAGTAGTCTTGGTTGTCAGGGCGGGGGGCAGAACGTTGAGCAGCTGCTTGCCACGCAGCTCTGAAGCGCTGTCGGTCAGAGTCGCTGAGGTCGTAGTTGTGGATGTTGAAGATGGTCGTCTCGTGTTGCCTTGCTCCATCTTGAACGCGTAGTTCACCAATGCGGCCAGGGACGATCGCGCGAAATGTACGTAGGGGCCGCTGATCAGGTGGTAGCTGGTGTTCGGCTCGATCAAAGGGAACCAGGAAGGCGATGCCGCCTGCGGTCTCCGAGGAGTGGCCGTCTGTCACGAGTGCTGAGTGGAAGGCAATGTACTTGTGGTCGGTGCTCGCGGCCAGGATGTCCATGTCGATGCTGTTGCCGTGGGTCTCTTGGAGGGCGATGACCGCTCGTTGCCGATTGTAGGAGAGCGGCAGCTGGCGCTTGAGGGCACGCCGTGATGCCGATCCGCCGTTGAGCGCCTGCGTGCTCCACGAGACCAGGTTGAAGCCATCGGAGTGTGGTTTCGTGAACCACGGCGACCATCGCGTGCTAAAGCCACCGTACTGCCTCCAGTGGGTTGGCGAAGGCAGCAGCCAGCGCGGCAGCCAAGGGCTCGTGCTCGGTGATGGGGATGCCAGCGGGAGCAGCTGCGTCGGACCAGCGAATTCGGGTAGCTGCATCAGGTGCGGCTCCAGCTGACCTGGACGATGGGGGCGCCGTTGATGGACAGGAAGCCGCCAGTACGATGGGGGCGCCGTTGATGGACAGGGCGCCGTTGATGGACAGGAGGAGGAGGGGGAGGGGGAGGAGGAGGACGAGGAGGAGGAGGAGGAGGAGGCACAGGGGGAGGAGACGCGGCGCAGGAGGAGACGGAACCCAAGAGACGCAGCACAGTAGACGCGACGCAGGGGAAAAAGCGCGCGGGCAGGCGCGGATGGCCCCCGCCAGACCCTGGCCCGCCACCAAGCTGATGGGAGGTTGCGGGCGGACGACGTCGCTCAGAAGCGGCCCGCGCAAAGATGAGCACCCTGCTGAGGAGGAGGGCGCCGGGCGCAGCCAGAGACATGTCCAGACACGTCCAGGCCAGCCGCAGCGCTCATCACGATCCGAGGTGAGTTGTTCGATCCCCTCCGTTTTCGGCCGCCGGCCGAGGATGATGAGGAGCCAAAGGAAGAGCGGGACCATCAGCACCTCGCACAACCCCACGAGCACACTGAGCAGCGCCACGCCGACCACGACGCAGCAGCAGCAGCAGCAGCAGCAGCAACCCCACCACGACGGCGACCAACAGCTACGCCAGGAGCACCCGACTCAGGCCAAACACCGCAGCACCGTCAGGAGGCTGAGGGGCCAGGAAAGGACCCGCCGCCAGCATGGCAGCCACGGCCGCCCAGCCCGTTCGCCGAGGGACGCGCGGCGGGAGCTGCGGGCACAACGGGTCGGGGAGGCAAGCCACCCAGGGCCACCCGAAGACTCGCCAGCGACGCTGCCGCGGGGAGACACGCAGAGGGACTGGGTCTCTGGCGAATCCGCGCCAATGCCCGCCGAAGCAGAGATGCCGCCGCGCTGTCTGTTCCGCTCGCCGGGCCGCTCTGCGCCCCCAGCGGCGCGAGGCGAGTGCGCGACGGAGCACAATGCACCCGCGCCGCCGCCCAACTTCAGCAATGTGTTCGGGCGGGCGCCGGAGGCCGGATGGGACTCGTCAGGCCCATTCGCCCTGCTCGGCGCCCGGCTGAAAGCGGCGCCGGCAGCGGGAGAGGAGGCGCCAACCCGAGAACCCAGCAACAGAGACAGGCCCGCCGAGTGCGCTATGCGTCAGGAGCCGCTCGACGATTCGAGTCTACGGTGGCCCGACTGCGGCCGCGCACCGCACTGCTTCCACGCAGGCTGGCCCGCATGGTTCCGATCGCTGCGCCGGGGGCTTGCTCGCCTGAGGCACGCCGGGGGCGACGCCAGCCGAATCGAAGAAGCCGCGTGCCCGCTCTTCAACCACGGGTGGGGCGACGGCTGGAGCTCCGCCGCGCGCTTGGGGCAGCTGACCGACGACCGCCTGCGCGGCGATGGCCTTCCTTCCCAAGGACGCCGGCGCATGCGCTGTCGGAATTTCGCGGGGGCGCCGAGCAGCGACGACGGCGAGGGCCCCTACGCGGGAGGGGGCCCTCGCGCATCCAAAGGGGCCAGCGCCGCGTGCGACCGCCATGCGTCCGCGGCACCCCGCCAGACGGCTGCGCCGGCGGCGCACGCGCGCGCGCCCAACGGGCACGCAGGATGCTGGGAACGCACGCGGAGGCAACACGGCAGCCAGCACGAGGTCTTCACCTGCGACGCGGCGCCGCTGGCCCAGGAGGCGCCGCGCCCGCCCGAGGACCAGCCGCTCCAACGCGAGGCCCGCCGCGGCGACGGGCCCCAGTTCGCAGCGCGGGCACGCTGCCGCGCGGACGAACCACGGCGATGGCGAGGCCACTGCCTCTGCCCAGGACGCGCATCCGACGCCTTTCCGGAGCCAGATCCCACGGACTCCGAGCCGCCACCTGCGCCGGAACATGACGCCGAGGGCTTTGAGCCAGCGCCCGCGGGGCAAGCGAAGCCAGCCGCAGAAGCACAACAAGCACGACAACACCACTTCTCACGATGGCCACCGCTGGAAGCCCCACCTCGGCGCCCCTGCTGTTGGCGGCGGCCGCGCTGCTCGACTGGACCGAGGCCGCGCAGTGGAGCGCGAGACACGCGGCGCAAGATTGGTGGCAGCCGACGGCAGAGGCTTTGCAGCATTCAGAGCCTGCCCCCGCGGAGCTGCGGCCAGGGGCTCGAGCTCGCAGGGGCCAACCCGGGGAGGGCGCACGCTGCGACGGCAGCCAGAGGCGGCGCGCGCTCTGGACACGTGCACCCAGCACCCCTCGCCCGAGCTCCATCGGACAGCCGGCGTACATGGCCAACCAAGTGAAAGACAAGACCTCCTGCTGGAAATGTTCGGAAGCGCGGTTCTGGCTCGAGGCGTGCACTGGCGCGCAGACGAACTGCGAGATCCCGCGACGCGGGCGGCAGCACCGCCGCTGGCCCCGCCGCCGCCGGGGCCTCGGGCCCCCGAGGAGGGCGACGACGGCGACGGCGGAGGAGGAGGACGACGACGAGGAGGAGGACGAGGAGGTGGAGGAGGAGGAGGAGGAGGAGGAGGAGGAGGAAGACGAGGCGCCAGAGGAGGAGGAAGAATCAGAGGCAGAGGCGGCGGCGGGCTGGAGAGGGACCCCGACGACGGCGACGACAACTCCAGCGAGAGCAACTCCAGCACCGACGAAACCAAGCACGAAGCCGACAACACCCAAGCCCAAGCACAGCGAGAGGGACCTGACGAAGAATCCTGGGCAGCCCTAGGGGACATCAACCTCCAACACGACTTCCAGAAGCTCGTGCCGACTCTTCAGAACGTGCCATGCTTTCTGCGCGAGGAGACCCGGATGTCCTTTTCCATATCCCTGAGGAGGATCAAATGGGGGCACGACCAGAGCAACCAGGCAACAGTCCAGCATGGATGAACGCTCTTCCTCCTCGCCTCGAGGCTTCCGCTAAACAAATCTAAAAAGCACCGCGCCGAAAGACGACGGGAGCTCATGGGGCGCGCCCGGCGCTTTCGCCAGGGCGACTGGCCAGCCCTACTACGCGAGGCCAACACCACAGCAGGCGCGCGCTTAGCACCGAGACCAGCCACAGAGGAACAGCAACAGGAGCAACGGAGAGAACAACTTTGCGCCCACGTCCGCAACGGCAACCCGTCACGCGGGCGACAAGTCTTGACTGCGGCGGCCACTGCGCCAGGCAACAGGGAGACATTGGACCAGCCGCGGGATCCGACCCGCCGACCGCCAGCCCTGAGCCGCCAGCTACCCGCCGACCTGGCCAGCGCATCTGCGAGAGCGAGACTGAACAAGAACAAATTCCTCGCTTGCGTCCAGTCCGCCAAAACGGGCACAGCAGCAGGGCCGCCCGGTGTCCAAGTCGAGCACCTGAAACCGCTGCTGGGACGGACCAACGTGGATTTGCCGCCGCTGCCCTCGCGGACGCGCAGGTGCCCGCCCCAATTTCCCGAGACTTACCCCTCCGCAAGATGATGGCGCCCCGGACGCCGGACAACGGAGCGCGGGGCAACGCCTGATACAACGTTTTCCGCAGACTAGTCACCAGGGCGCTCGCTAGGCAATTTGCAGAGCAGCTCGCGGCCGCAACCGCGCCCTACAAGTTCGCCCTCACAACTCGGGCAGGGACCGACTGCGCCGCCATGCTGCTGAGGTCAGTGCTGGACCACGACGATGACGCAGTCAGAATCAGCATCGATGGAATCGGGGCCTTCGGCCACGCGTCGAGCTCTGCGCTTTTCCATGAACTCCAGCTAGCCTCACCCCCTGCGTCAAGATAAGTCACAGGCAAGACCCCACCGACCTCTGGCAGGACGAAGCGGGGACCGTACACGACGTGCCCCAGGGCGAAGGAGTGGGGCAGGAAGGCGCGCTGGCCGCAGCCGTCTTCGCACTCGCTCTCCACGGGGCGCTGGAGGGCGCTGCAAGGAGTTTCGAACAAAGGGATTTGTTTGCAGTTTTCCTTGACGACGCGCACATCCAAACCACCCAGAACAGGGCCAGAAACTGCTCTCGACAACACCACTGGCGCAATCCACCTCCACGCAAACGCGGACGGCCACCTCGGCAAGCGTCGGGCCCACTGCAGAGGCGGAGGCGCAGCCCCACCAGGAATCGGCCAGCTCGGACAAGACGCATGGCGGGGCGACAGAGCGCCACCCGACCGAGTGATCCAAATTCTGGGCACTCCGCTCGGCTCCCCTGAATTTGTCGCGGCCCACCTCGCTGGCACACTACACGGGGAAAACAAGCTTCTGGACGAGCTGGCGCACATGCCCGACCTGCAATGCGCGCGGCCCCCCCCCCCCTTACTCTGCGCTTCCCCGCGAGCGAACCACCTGCCACGAACGCTGCCGCCCGGGGAGATTGCCGAGCGCGCGAGAGGCCACGACAGAGACACGTGGACCACCCTGCGCAAACTTCCTCGGGGGCCCAAGGACGTCGCAAGAGGAGGAGCGACGGGCGCGCGCACTGGCAGCAATGTCAGGACGACACGGAGGACTCGGGCTTCAACGCGCCACCGAGGCCGCACAAGCGCACAAAACCGAAGGCTTCCTCAGGACCGAGAGCTGCCCACTGGCTACACGCGCTGCCCACCACCGAGGGGCGCGCGTTCAAGCCCGCGCGCTTCCAGGCGGCCGCGCGCCGGCGCCTCGGAATCCCACTGCCGACCCTCCCACGCAGGCGCGGGCCGCCAGCCACCCGGGCTGCCGAGCCCCGCCGGACCTGCTCGGAGACAACCTCGCCGCGTGCCCGCGCACCGGGCACCTTGCCAGACGCGCGAAACCGCTCGAACGAACTTGGACGAGGGTCGCCAAAGAAGCAGGAGGGAGGGTACTTCCCCAACAGCTGCTGCGAAACGCCAACGCCGTCGTCCACGACCCGCTACGCGGGCACGCAGCTGCGCGCGCATGTCATTCGCGTACGCCTATTTTTCTTGAGCCAACATGAATACGGAACGCTTCGCTCTCACGCTCTGCAGCGGGCCGAAAACTTCAGGAAACCCTCGACATCGCTTGCGAACGCAACCTGCTGCGCGACAAGAACTACTGTCACAGCCATTGCGCGCGCGAGCCACGAAGGGCCCGGGGACCCCCCCGGAGCTTCCTGGACAGGCGCCTTCTGACAGGAACTGTTGCCAAATTGACTGGGCTAGCTGCTGCGCGGCATACTGAATTGCCTCATTTCGTTTTTGATTTCGCGCTCTCGCAGCGGCCGCGGGCCCGCGCGCCGGCGCGGACTACGCAGGCGCCCGACCCCCGGCCGCCGCGGCTCAGCGCGGCCGCCCGCGGCACGGGCGCACCGCGCTGAACCCTCCCGCTATCGAAGCGGGGGGGCGGTCTTGCACGCCCCATCCCCCCCCCCTGCAGGTCCGAGGCGGCAAAGCTCGGCCCCGCCCAAAAATAACCGATTGGAGGACGACGCAGCGAAGGTGAAACCCGGCCGCTCTGAGGCTCCGCAATCCACCGGCAACGACGGCGCCCGCGAAAGGGCACCCCCCCTCCCGCGAGGGACCAGGGCTCAGCGGAGGCCTGCCAGAAGCCGCAAAATTCCTTTAGACCACTCGGGGGGCGAGAGCGCCAGCCAACCTTCTGGTCTAAAGGAAAGTTCTTGTCCACAGGAAAAACGCAACAGGCGGGCGCCCAAGTGCGTTGAGACGCGCTCGTGGCCCGTCAGCCCATACTAGAAGGCGACGAAGAGGACGAGGAAGAGCGGGGAAAATGAGAGCGGCGGGAAGCAGCCAGCACGACGAATTGGCCCACGAACGAGACGCGCTTCACGGGCTCGCTGGTTTCGACGCCCTCGCAAAACAAAAGTTGCATGAAAAGACCGACGCCAGCAGGGCGAGGCTGGCGGCCAACACCGAGAGGGAAGATCGCTTGCCGCCGCGCCGCAAGCGCTGGGCACGCCGCCAGCGCGCGGCGCAAGGGCGCATTTCGAAGCCCACGCGCCCTGCATCTCTCAAGGGTGTTCGGGCGGTCATCACCCACCAACGCAGAGAGCGCCCACAGCCGACTATTGAAAACGCCTCCAAATGCGCGGCCCGGACTCCCACGCGAGGGGGGCAGGGCCAGGGAGGGCGGGCCCTGGGCACAGGTCGCAGAAATATCGGTCAAAGGCTTCAAACTTACGAAAGGCGGCCGCGACATTGGCAGCCCAGTCATACTGGAACAGGGCAGGGCGCACACAACCGCACCTCCTTTCGGGCGGCACGATCCCGCCGCGCAGCCTCACTCTCAAGCGGAAATACGGCGCGACACAGCGGGCCAGCAGGCGGCGAGGGCAGGCGGCCCAGGAGCCGCAGCGCCGCGGTTCTCCAGGTCGGGGCGCCCGAATCCTTCGCCGCGCCAACGGCCACGGCCGCCGGGCGATCGCAGGGCAGCACCTGCAGGCGCGCCCTCGCCATGATGAGCCTGCCTGTAAAAACGCGTGCCGAGCCGCATTGGCCATCCGCACCGCGCGACTACGCTAGCGCGCATGACGGGGGGCCCTTCTGGCAGCCCAACAGTCGTCGACCCCAGTTCACTTGGAGTTTGTCGAAGGCGGCCCCCGCCCCTGGCGCGCCCGCTAAAAGCGGGGCCGCGCACGGCACCGCGGACTCCACGCGCGAGGGGGCCCGAGCGGCTGCGACGGGAATGGGGGCCCCCCCGTCCTGCGAAACGCGGAGCAACCCGCCGTAACAATCATTCCCTATCGCCACAACCTCACACAGAAGAGGCTCAAGGGTAGAACCCCCGTCTGTCAGGATGCCTAGCAGACGCTTCTCGCCCACGACGAGGCAGCCAGCGCGCGACGGGGCTGGCGCACCCAAGATTGGAAGTACGCAAGTCTTCCCAACCCCATGATTGAATTTAGACATCATCATCCTGGCGCACCGCGCGCCAGCGGAGACGCCCCTGCGGACGACACAGCGCAAACGGCCCCAGCTGACGGACAAGGTGTCGCGATGTCGTCGGCGAAGTGGACAGGAGGGACATGGCGCGACCCAGCGGCCACCTCCAGCGCTACTCTGTCAGGGAGCGCCAGCAACAAACGCAGCGCGCGGGAAAGGAAGGCCTCAGCCCGAGGCCATGGGGGGACCTTCGCGCGCAGCGATACAGGCCGCCAGGGACACCGCCACTGCGGCCATAGAGAACCCCCGAAAAGGAATTGCAGCATCGATTACACAGGCGCCGCGTCACCGGCGTCACGCAGAGCCACGCAGGCAAAAAGAGGGACGCGCGAAGCGCACCCACCCCGCACGGCCCGCTCGATCTCCACTGGGAGAGCGCGCAGCTGGGCATTGAAGGCGCGGACAGAGAAGCGGCGCCCCCGCGCGGCGCCGCAACCTAGCGTGAGAAAGGGAATGAATAATCGCGGGGCTTTTCTACAAGATGGTCTTCCCCAAAGGCATCGTCAATAGTCAGCCGGCCGGCCCCCCGAACACCGGCGGCGAAGACGCCCGGTAGCATCCCTTCAATGGGAGCAACGTCGAATGCCCACTTCTCGTCCGCGATCGCCCACCAGGTGGGAAGACTCTTCGCTGCTCTGACTGGGGCGTTCATGACAAGCGCAATGACCGAAGACACGGCGTCTCCAACGCCTCCTTGCTGAGCTGGACCACGGTGAACCCCCATGCAATGCAAATTGCGCGCAAACCAGGTCGCGTCTTGAACAGACGCCATGTCGCTGGCAAACGAGACTGGTCGCAGGGCAGACAGCCGACGCACCACCGCGGCGCCCGATTTGCAGATCGGGGAAAACTACCTCACGGACCAGAGACGCGAGGTAACGAAGAGGGCACGCGCCAGGTTCAAAAAGGGCCAGGGTAAAGCGGAAACCCTGCTCAACCTTCGCGCGCGTTTCGCTTCCCTGGTTTGAGGAACGCTAGGGCCGCCTCGACTTCCTCCTCGGAGTACGGCAGCTCTTGGCACGCCTGGCCGGAGCTCGCGCCCGTACGACGGATGGCAGCAGCCTCGATTGACATGCGCGCGCGCATGTCAGTCGTTCGCAGCGCGCGAGCACTGATCCCCACGGATGGCGTCGAGCATCCCCATTATCGAGAGAGCCGCTCCAGAAGTCTCGTCCGCGAGCTGCGCGTCGAAGCGGGCGGGGGGGTGAAAACGCCCGTGAAGAAGCGCTCCGCCGCGCCCGCGCTCGCGTCTCTAAGCGATAAATATACGCGGGCCGCTCTGCGCCGCTCCTGTCAAGCAGCAGTCACAACAGCGGTCTTGCACGCCTCGTGCGACGTGAATGACGCGGGCCTTCACAGAGGGCGCGAAGGCGCGCGCCCCCCGCAAACGCCCGCGCGGGCCACCCTCGCGGCCCCGGCAGCGCGGCTTACTGGGACGTGGACGACGCCCCTCGCCCAAGCCGCGACTCTGAGCACAGCGCGGCGCTGCAGCCGGGTGGCGTCGACCCCAAACCAGGGCGGCCTAAGCCACGCGCCGCTGGCGGCGTGCTCCACAGCGTCCGCCAGCACGCTCAGCAAATCCAAAATGCCTTCGAGCGCGGTCGTCCACTCGCACCCGGACGACCAGGAGACCCGCCCAAAACCCGTCGACCACGAGAGGGCCGGGGAGAAAGGAACTTCAACCTGGATCAGCTTATGGCCCGATAGACCAACGATTTTATCAAGGACAGCCCCCAGGAATGTAAGCTTCGCCAGGCCCCAAGAACAAATCCGCTGACCCCTTGGGGCCACGGCGCGCGAGGTGCTTCCCCCCCAAACCCCTCCCACAGGAGCGCGGTCCGGCCAGCGTGGATGGGGGGGGGCAAAAGTGTCATCAGGCCCCACGAGGCCACGCGATGCCCTGGCGGGTTCCAAGCAGCCCCCACGACGGCCCAAGAGGCCCCCGAGACGCCCAAAGGTCGGCCCAAGACGCCCAGGATGGCCCCAAGACGGCCCCAGAAGCCTCCCAGACGGCCCAGGAAGCCCCCAAGAGCATTCCCAAGAGGGGCCCCAGTGGCCAAAATCGTCGAATTCCGATGGGGAAACATACATTTTTACCATACACGACACTTCAGCTTTCACGGCGTTGAAGACGGCCCCGGGGCCCCGCAAGACCGCCCCAAAAACGGCCCAAGAGGCTACCAAGAGGCGCTCGAAACGACCCAAGAGGGCCCCAAGACGGTCCAAGAGTGCTCCAAGACGGCCTTAGAGGCTCCCAAGGCGGCCCAAGAGTGCTCCAAGACGGCCCAAAGAGGGACCCAAGAGGGGGAACCTGAACCAACAATCCGAGCCCCCCGCCCCAGAACGGCCCCAGGGGGGCCCAAGAGACGCCCAACAAGGCCCACGAGGCTCCCAAGAGTCCCCCCCAAAGAGGCCCCCCAACACACACACACACACACACAGACACACACACACACACATGCACATATGTGCGACACTCGGCACTGCCGGGGCCACCAAGAACATTCCCAAGAGGGGCCCAAGAGGCCACAATATGCCGATGGGAAACCGCATAGCGGCGACAGGGGACGGGCCTAGAACCCCCAACCACGACAAACCTCCCGAGTCCGACGGGCTACTCCGCACAAATTCGCCCCCCTAACCTCTCCCCAGGTCCGCCGATGCAATTCCTCGCCCCATGTCCGTCCGGTTTTGAAAGTCCCAGGGCCCAGCAACGGCCCCCGGAGACCGAAACCAATCAAAAACAAAAAACAGATTAAACATAAATGTCTGACAAGGCGGCCGGAACTGCCGCGGACACCCACCTCGATCGAGAAGAAGAAGAAGAAGAAGAAGAAGAAGAAGAAGGACGAGGAGGATGGAAAGGAGGAGGAAGAGGAACAGATGTTCCCGGTCTTTCGACCACCCGAAGCAGCTCCTCGAATCCAGTCTCCAGGAACCGTTTTCGGTGCCCGAGGCCACCGCCGAGGGTCCAGGATGAGGATCGACCTCCCTGGCCGGCGCCACCCCTTCGGAAAGGAAGGAACACGGGGTGGATCGAGGCTCGAGGCATGAGACTCCCAGTTATTGGGCGCTCTCCGCCCCCTCTGGGCCTTCAGGAGCTCCTCGTCGACACGGCTGGGTCCACTCTCGAACTTCTGGCGGGGCGCGCCCCCAGCCAGGTCTCAACGATCCCCAAGCCTATCCAGGGGGTGGAAAAGGAGACCTGGGACAAGCGCCGCGAAGACCCGAAGAAACCCAAATGAGACCACGAAAAAAACTTCAGAACAATCCCCTACAAGGCCCCCCTTTGAACCCCACACGCTACGTAGGACAGGCCGAATCCCCAAGATTGCCCAGTGATCGCGCGCGCTCCCCGAACTCCGTCTTTCACTCTTGCTGCCGCGCCAAGGGGTCGGCGGCGCGGCGCCAGCCAATGAACCGATTGTCGCGCCAGACACGTGAATTGGGAGAGGGGGGCGGGCTGCCCGCGCGAAACCCGGCGTAATCGAGCCCCGCCTAGATCTCACGATCCTGGGCTCTCCGTCGACAACGCGCGCAGAGGCGCCCAGCAGCGCGGGAAACGCAGTGCGACGAGTGGAGGTCCGCGTCGCCTCCCAGAGGCAAGCGTGCGGCAGGAAAACGACCTCACAAGAGGCGCACGTCGGCAACGATGGACACCCACGTGTCCCAGCCCCCTCCGTGGACAGGGCACCTGGCGCAGAGGATGGCGCTAGGGGTGGTCGCATCGCCTGCTCCCCAGAGCCCAAACCACTGCTCGCGAGTGCTGGAGATTTCGGGCATTGGCCGGGAAGCATGCCCCAGTTCGGGGCGCAGAAACAGGCCGACGGAGTCCCAGCCAGAAGACGCGGGCCCTTCCCATAAAAAAGGCAGCCAGGCGGGAGAGCGCGCGCCTGGGAGACTGCGCGCGTCGACACCCCTCTCGAACAGCGCGTGCGCGACGGCCTCGAGCCGCCACTCGAGCAACAGATCCGAACCCAGTTGGACGAAATCCGCGCGGCCCGGGTAGAGAATCGCCAAGCGAAGACTGGATTTCA